TTTCTTATTGGATATTCTTATTAGAAAATGGAAGAAACTCAAACTCAAACTTCAACTTAAACTCTTGGGTTCTGATGTAAATTTAATTCCTCCAATCGTCAAAGAAGTTAAACCCTTTGGCAAACTTGTTGCAGATGAAGGTATTAACTTCAACTTAGAATTCAAGTGCCTTTCAAAACAAGGCTTTACAGTTCTTTCGTACAATAGACAAAACTATATTATTCATGAAACAATTCTATTGCCTTAGATAAGGATTTGGTTTTATTGGACCTTCCAAAAACCTATTATAGTTATTTACAATTTTTTTTTAAAAAAGTGAAAAGTTATATTAAACCCATAACAAAAGAAATAATTATACTAAAAGTAAAAAATTTTTCACCAACTTAAAGAAAAAAAAAAACTTTACATCTATACAATAATAAATAAATATACCAAAAAAAATTTTTTATTCTACATATTTGGCATTTTCACATTAGAAAAACACATGAGAATTATTAAATGGAAACAAAAACAAAAGCACAGACTTATAGTCACCTGCTTATGTTTGTAAACATTTATTTCATTTGTAGAATTCAATGTTATTTTAAAAATTGAAATATTTTTAAAAACGAAGCATTTAGTTATTACATTTATATTTTAAATTAAACAATTTTTTACTACAATTTTTTACCATTTGAATTCATTAATATTTTTAAATAGCTAATGAAATATTATCTATTTTGATAGGAATACTAAACTAAAATAATCTATTACATTTATTTTTAACATTTTTAAATTAAAATTTCAGTTTAAATTTTGTAAAAGTATTTTTTAATTCTCGTTATGTTTTATATAATATAAAAATCAAAAGGGTAAATTTACTCAATTTGAGTGCGTTTTAATAAAAATAAATTTCTTAAGTAATAATAAGTAATTATTTGTTCAATTTTAAAAAAATGATAAATTTTTTTAAAAGTTTATGTTTTTAATTTGCACGGAAAAAAAGGAATTGCTCGCAGATGCTAACTGATGTTTGCTATCAGATCTATAAAAATTAGTAACCACAGCTAAATTTTTTGCTATGACAAAACAAAAAAGTTTGCTATAATAAACAATATTAGTTTTAATTTTTAAAAATTTACTATCACAGCAAACTTTTGTGACCCCACAGCAAATTTGTTTGCTGTCCCTATATTAGCTAACGTAATTTGATGTGACAATAAATAATCCGCTGCCACAGCAAATTTTTTTTATGCGTGTGTAAGAATAATATAAATTACGTTGAATTTAAAAAATTGTGGTTCACATTAAAAATATATTATTTTATAATTTGTTAAAAAAAATAATTGGGCGAGTTACTTTAAACCTTGAATTTGACTTTTTAGACAAATTTTATCAAAAAACGGTATAGGTGATTCTTTTAGTGGCGCATAATTTAGTCACTGATATTATTAGAAAAAAAAACTTTTTTTTTATCAATATCATAAATATAAATGATATATATTCTTCAAGAAGAAAGGTCTAAAATGAAATATTTATGATGGGCTGGACAAAATATTAAAATTCTTTTATCCATTAGAATAATACACGCAGATCAATGAAAAAAGTTTCAGACCATGACGCTCAACAAATACTGACTTTTAAACAATTTATTAGCAATTTTCATTTTGTTTCATAATCTCTAAATCTGAATTAATTACTTTAGACTAATTGAACTGCGCCGATTCGTTCATTTAATGAATTAGAACCCGTTTTGATTAATTATCAGTCAAAAATTACTAATTGATAGTAAAAAAAAATGCTAATTCATTTAGTAAGGCTACTATTTCAATTAGTAAACTTTAATAATTAAGTTAGTAATTAATTAGTAGTTTTCTACCATCAATTAATTATTTTTGTCTACACATATTATTCAAAATGGGTAATAATTATTGAACGAATCACGTGCAAAAAATTAGTAACGCCATTTTATTTTTTCAAAAAAAATAATTAAAAAATAATTAATTTACTAATTTCTAATTCTGACGATAATTTTCAAAATCTTTAATAATAAATTATATTTAATATTCATTACGAAAAATTACAATGTTCCTAAAATAATTCAATTTTAAAATTCAAATACAGTAGAAACCAGTTTATCCGGATCTCGATCAACCGGATTTTCAATTATCCGGACAAATTTTCATTTCGTTTTTTTTCTCAATGATTATAGGCATTTTAATATATGCCTATAATTGTACTAAGATGTATGTGAATTTTATATTTTTACATGAATCATTGGGATTTTATTTTAAAATTAAAAAAAAATATTTATGCAAACTTTTCTAAAATAATTTTTACTAAATATTTATATGTTTATTTATATAGTATGAAAGAATTTCTTTTTTTTCATGTTTGTAAATAAATACATACTAAAGATTATATAAAGAAAATTTGTGTGTTTTGTAATTTCGATTATCCGGATAACTGTCTACATCTATTAGTCGGGATAAACGGGTTTTTACTGTATACGCATTATTGTTTTACAAAAATAAATTTTGCACTGAATTATGCTGGTCGAACAGAAAAAGAAACAATTATAAAATTTATAAAAAATTAACAATTTTTCAAAATAATTCAATTTAAAAATTCAAAAATAGAAATATTAAAAAATTAATTTTTTTTCAAAAATCAAATTTTGTGATAAATTGTGCTAGTCCAGCACAAAAAAAAAGCAGTCGAATCTTTTTATGCTGAACAAGCACAATTTAGAACACAAAATTTGCATTTGAAAAATAATTATTATTTTAATATTTCTGGATAAAAGACAGTTTGTTTGAATTTTTAATATTTATTTATTTATTGGAAAATATATGGACAAAGCCATTTCTAACAGAGTTCTGTAGATTTATTATGAAAATTTTTTATTCTTTGTAAATGTTATGAATGTTTATTTTTGTACTCGTCTAGCACAATTCGTCACAAAATTTGTTTTTAAAAAATAAAATTTTTTCAATATTTAAATTAAAAAATAGCTTTTTGAATTTAGATTTAAATTACATATTTTGAATAATTTATTTTTAAAGACTTTGAAAATTGTTGTAAGAATTACTTTTAATTCTAGTCTTGCACAACTAGACCAATACGTTTTTGTACCTTTTAACTCTTTTTAAAGCAAACTTATTAAATTATAAATGAAAACTATTGACTTTTGTTTGTAAACATAGAAATTAATTTTTCACATTGAATTTATTACAGTACCACTGATTTCTTTAAAAAACGAAGAAATTGAAATTCTATACTCTATACGAAGAGAATCACCCATACAGTAGATATAAAAAATAAGATTCGTTAGAGAGCATTGACTTATTAAAAAAAAAATAGTGTAAATCAAAAGCGATCAATGATATTGTAAAAGAACAATGCAAAAAAAAGCTATGATATCCGGGTGTGGAGGATTACTAGTAGGAGTTGATGAGGAAGTCACTGAGCAACCACCTGCAGCAAGGCGAGCTTTGTATTGATTCGGTGACAGTTCTGAGCGTAGCGAAAGCCTCATCAAAGACCGGCTTGGTGGATAGCAACGGCGACGAAGAGACGAAGCTTAGGAACGTGGCCAGCCACCCTAGCTTATATATATATAGCTTGGAGCGGCAGTCTGATGAGCTTAAATATAACCGAAATGCAACTCAGGGTGTCACCCACAAGCTAAGATACACGAGAGAATGACGTCTAAGATGAAAAAAAAGGAGGAAAAAAATCAAAAGAATTATTGAAAAAAAATTTTTAAAAAATTTTAATATTCTTTTAGCAATAATTCACCTGAATCATTAATTTCAATTGAATTAAAAACCGCAAAATAGTTTAAAAATAGATGAGAATTTTAAAGTAGCAATGGCCGCGAAAGTTATAAGAACAATTGAATGCCAAACGGATTTTAATGACAGCAGCATGTATAGAGACAGTTCGAAAAGGTACGAAGACCAGTGGGTCAAAATCAAGGTCAACTGAAGGGAATATGAAACTAGAAGGGCAAATCGAAAGTTAAGGAAAGTGAGGAAGCTTCGTGTAAGAATAATAAATGTTTAATGATAAAAGAAAAAATTTCATGAGAATTTTTTATATAGAGAGGGAAAAATATTTTTCAATAGAATGAAAAAAAAATATATTTCATAGTAAGGCAGAAAAACATAGAAATGTTTAGATCAATGGAAGCAAAAAAAAAAAAAAAAAGAGAGCAAAGGGAAAACAAATGTGGGGGATGATTCGGAGGGGTAAGTAGGCGACACTAAGTGCAATGAACTTTGAAGGGGAAAAGCACGACTGAATGTGTCAGAAGCACATGGCAGTAATGTGAATGTTATTATTTAAAAAAGAGATTTAAAAGTGCATTGTAAAAAAAGAGGCTAAAAAAAGTTATACACTTGCCTATTTTAAACTAATCTACTATAAAGGAAGATATGAAGAAAATAACCAAAAAAATAGTAGTCGGAATAGTAAATGAAGTGAAGACAGGGTAAAGAAGAAAAATATTCGAAATAGTTTAATGAAAAATCTATCTAGTATTAGCTAAAATAATAATTTCTAAATGAAGAAGAAGAAGAAAATGACTGCCTATTAGAAAGGGTAGTTAAGGGGTAGTTTTTATGTTAGAAGAAGTAAAGCGTCGAGGTGGTCGACACGAGTGGTGGCAGACATGGCCGACAGCGCCGCATCGTCTGCTATAGTGGAAGGCGGAATTGCATATATATAAAGAGATACTATCTGTTAAAGCTTTTAAACGTATATAGATAGCTCTGTGCGTTAGGGACTTGCAAATTTAAAGTGAAAAGAAGGGGGTCTCTCTCGTGTGTGGAGATATTATGAGGTATGAGTGTGAGGAACAGAGAGGGAGTGGTAGAGGCTTAGCAAAACGACGATATATAGTAACTCGTATATAGTGGCAGAAGAGAGGGACATGGGTCGAGAGTTGACTTGACACGCGAGTTTCTTATCGCATTAAATGTGCGTTTATTTGCCATTTAAATTTTTCATTTACTTACTTGCCAAGTTCCCCATTAAGATCGTAGTTGTCACTAAACCGCGTGCAAGCTGCTGGGGCAGCCATTCCGGAAACTACCACAGTGGATATTTAAACCACTATATAACCGAATAAACCAGGCCCACTAACTACGGCACACGTTCTACAAAAGCTAGAAGGGAAAAAGTTCGCAGGTCAAATCCGATCAATAAAGACAGAGCGAGAATGAGAGCGTGTGTTTTCTAGTGGACGTGACGCCTTGTCTGCGGGGCCTTGCTACCCTCGCACCGGTGGCTCGGATCACGGACGCGCCAGCGATGATTATAACTCGTGTCAATTTAAATAAGAAATTTTTCGAACTGGCGTCCGCACTGCTCGCCGGCGGAACGTCGACTGACTCGCGTAGTCGGCACCGCGCCGCGACGAGTCGCGCAGCCAACCTAGCGCCAATCACTCGAGGGGATATCGTGGCGCGTTTAAATTTAGAACTAAGGATGAATCCACCGCACATACAGGGTTGAATGTCGTTCTTGTCGATATCGACGTCTTTGAAAGAGCTGCCCCCTGAGATGCCGGGGTTGTTTTTTTTTTTTTATTTATTTACTATTGAAAAACAGGTGATATTAGTAGCGACCTACAAAAGCGCTCGCAATGGGATACACGCTACAACTCAAGTTTCCTTTCCCTTCCTTTTCGGGCCTATGTCCCTTCTAAGCCCTCGTTTCAGGAGCGATGTCGAACCCCGACCGTGAAAAGCTTATGAACGCACGCGCCTGACCAACGACGCACCTTCACTACTTAAAATGATTCCAGTACCGTAACCAGTAGACCCGGATACTATTGAATATACTTGTATATAACAAAAAAAGTTTCAATTCTAAATAGTCGATAGACAAGTCTAATTTTTTTTTTTAGATATTTTTTTTAAAGAGAAATCGGACAGACATTCTGAACAAAAAGTTAATCTAAATGCATTATTCCGATTTTTGAAATAGAATTTTTTTTCAGACGAAGTATGCAGATTTATATTTTAAACAAAATGATTCATTGAAAATTGATGAAAATGATAAAAAATTTACATTTAGAAACGATTTTATAATTTGAGTTCAAACAGACAATCGTTTCGAAATGGCAATTTTTTTAATTTTCATCCAATTTTCAATGATTCATTTTATTTAAAATTCTGCACACTTCGTCTGAAAAAAATTACACTAAAATATGTGTTTTCAATTTTAAAAATCGAAATAATGCATTTGGACTAACTTTTTTTCAGACTGTCTGTTCGATTCCTCCTTAAATACGAGAAATGAAATTTTATACACGAACTTCTCTAAGACTTTTGCTAAAAATGACCACGGCATTATTATCCAGAATCTTCTGTTTGGCTATGCTTATTAATTTAATTACGCCGTTACAATCATACCTAACTATATGCAATCTTATTCTATATTTTTCCTTTAATTCGCTCGCGAAAATACGTACACGAAAAAAATTTCGAGACGTCAAACGTGCCGATGTCAATGTAAACCTACAGTACATTTCATTATGTACGTCTTCCGTGCTAGTTTGGCACAAACACTGTACAAAAGGTAAGGCAGATACGCAAAAGTGGCACAGATGACGTGCAAAATGAATGTACTGCAGGTTGACATTGGCATGTCTGACGTCTCGAAATTTTTTCCGTGTATGTATACCAAGTTTGAACATCCTACCTCTAAAACTGTAAAAGTTGAGGGGGACACACGCTTTTTTCCGAAATTTCGAGTTTTTGTAATATAACTTATATTCAATTCAATTCCAATTGGATTTGCTATAATTTTCGTTTAATCTACTCTCGAAAATATGTATGTATACCAAGTTTGAGCTAAATCGGTTGAAATGACTGGGTTTTGGAGGGGGGGACATGATTTTGTGAACGGACATGAATGATACCATAAGGGTTCCGTTCAGGTTCACTGCGTGAATGGAACCCTAAAAAATTAAAGCGGAGTCTATATTCATTACATGGACGGAGAATTTTGATTGTTTTCGAGTTCTGGCCGTCAATATGAACGCCAATTTTTCTGACTGACTCTCTAGACCTCGGAGGCAGACGTTGTCATGTCAAAAAATACAACTAAATTTTTTGTAATAAAATTTTTCCAATAAATTAAAATATTTACCTGATTGATTTGGTTTTGTTTAGTAGTAAAGTATTTACCTTAATAACAAATTTTCAGCTTCAAGGAGATTCTTTCAAACTAAATAGCTCTCGGAGATCCCTACTTTCAAGTTAAATTTCCATTCAGAAAATGTGAAAAATAACCGTAAAAATAGACCGAGTTCCAAAAAGTCTGAATATGAAGAATTCGGTGTCCTTCAAGATACCTATTTTTACTTTTATCCTATTTTTACTTTTATCCTTATTTTTGAAGTACGTAACACCACAAGCCATCGAGGACAAAATCTGCAAAAAGAAAAATTAAAATACTGTCAACGCTGTACTAATATGTAGTTAAATCTTTAACCGGTCGGTAATATAGAAAGCTATAAAATATTTCATTTCCAAAGTTGACAAAAATAAGTATGGCATCGAGACTAAACCTGAAGTAATCGAATAACACAAAAATCTTGAAAATATGACTGATAGTTTTCGAGAACTCGGCGTCGATATGAACACCAATTTTTCTGGACTCCCTCGACCTCGGAGTAAGACGTGATATCAAAAATGTTTATTATAAACAAATTCTATTGCAAACAAATTAAGTTTACTTGAGAATTTCAAAACAATAATCAAACCTACTGTTACTGTAAAAAAATTGAGCAAGTACGAGTTGAACTAGCTCTAAAACCGAGGGTTCCGTACACAAATACCAACTCGATAGTATGAATAATGGATGAATTTCTTTTTTATTAAAAAAAATATATATATAAATCAGCGCCCCCGAAAACCCTCGAGTAGTAATTTTCCTGAGAGTAGCTCAACTTTTTAAAGTGTTAACTTATGTTTTTATGACTGCAAACTTTAAACTCGTTTTTCTTGAAACTGAATTTTTAAAAATGGTCGGAAGGATTATTGCCATAGTTTTTAATGGATTTACCTGAAATTTAGACTGCAGCTTCAGGACACTATTCTTTAGGGAAATACGTGGGATTTTTTTATTGGTTGATGCGTTTTGTGAACAATTTTGCAATATCACAATTTACAAAGAAATAATCGCATTCTATTCAAATAATTTGCAAAAGTTAGTTAAAATTTTTAATAGGTTTCTTAATTTTAATTACATTTTTTTAATTACTATTCACTGATTGTGAGATGTAGAAAATCAAGAAAAAACGCAATCTATTTTTCTGATTAGAAGTGACGCATTGGAAGTTAAATTTTTTGTTTCTTACTGTCTTCAAGTCGTATAATTAAAGTTAATTTTTGTCTAGTGCTTTTGTCAAATAAAATTTCAAGACTTTTCCAGGTTAAAAATATTTTTTTCCAGGTATGTACTATTTTAATAAATAATGACAAAAATACATTAAATGTACAAATAAAAAAAAAATTTAATTTAATAAATTTAATTTTTGGCATTTTCAGGCATCGGGTCGAATTTAGAGAAAGAAAAAAGTCGTAATAGTCGATTTACATTTTAAGAAAACACAAAAAAGTTGCTTCTTGTATTTTTATATAAATACAATTAGTAAATATTTTATTATTATTATTATCAAACAATTGTAATAAATTGAAAAAAGAGTCGCATACATTGAAAAGAGTTGAAAAAGTCGTGCAATCCGAGGCCTGAATTTGGCAATGAGAATAAAAACGCTTACGAATTTTGTATTAACAAACGCGATTGGAAAAAAATTCTTACACAAAATACGAAAATTCCAGAACCTGATCAAAAATTCAAGAAATTTTCTAGGTTTTCCAGGTAAAAAAAAATTCAAGGATTTTTCCAGGATTTCAAGGGATTTCAGGTCGCTAGACACCCTGAATAATATTTGATTCATATACAACATATTAAATTTAATACCCCACCGCTTTAATACACTGAAAAAAATGTATAAAAAATTTCCATGTGTAGAAATTTTAGTAAATATTTTACTATATTTATATGGAAAAATGTGTCAAAATGTAAAAAAATTGGTATAAGAAAACATTAAAACTCAGAAAAAAGGTATTAAAATTACTAAAAATACTAATAAATACTTAAAAAAGTAATATTGATTACTATCAATTTTTTATATGCTGATAAAACTTGGTGCCAGTTTCAGCTTCATTTGTACTATAGGTTGAGAGCAACTCTTATCCTGATTTGGTGCGTCTAAAGCACTGTAAGGGACATCAGACGTACTGTAGGGGAAATAGGTTGCACCAAACCGTGATAATTGATGTCCATTTTAAAAGTAGAAAAATTTTTAAACTAACAAGTACAACCGGTGCACCAAAATTTTTTCCGTGCATAAATTGTAAAATATTTTTTACTAAAATTTCTACTATACTTATTGAAATTTCTTAAATATTTTTTGTCAGCGTAAAATCAATAGATAGCAGCTAAAAAGTCTACAAATTAACTGCAGATCATAAATTTCATTACTAAGAAGGAATCGGACAGACAGTCTGAACAAAAGTTAGACCAAATGCGTTATTTCGATTTTTGAAATAGAAAACACATATTTTAATGTAATTTTTTTCAGACGAAGTGTGCAGAATTATAGTTTAAACAAAATGAGTTATTGAAAATTGAAATTGAATGAAAATGACTCATTTTGTTTAAAATATAATTCTACACACTTCGTCTGAAAAAAATTACACTAAAATAAGTTTTTCTTTTTCAAAAATCGAAATAATGTATATTTGGACTCATTTTTGTTCAGACTGTCTGTCCGACTCCTCCTTTATTAAATATTTACTATTTTTTATATTTGACTTTTTAAAACAAAAATGTAAAAAATTAAAATGAAAAATGCCCATAGTAATGTTTGTAGTATTTGGCAACACGTAATGCACAAACGCTTCGTCGCAATTACACATGAGGCAACCTTACGCAAGACAATGAAATTTGGTCATTAATTGGTTTACCAAAGATGGGAATTCCTTTGTCTCTATTTCCATGTAGCGCTTTAAGCTGCTTTATGAAATATACTATTATGATAAAAGGAGGGAAAAAATTTATCTATCCATATAATTCCAAATATTTCGCAATGCATAATAGCAATTTATTATTTTTTTATTTTTGCAATTGGCTGTTTTCACTTATTTTCGCTCATATATAAATCTCCAAAAATAATTTAGAATGCGCGAAAAAAATTGAAAACTAATATAAAGTAACTATAAGCATTAGTCAATGTACTTGAAATAAGAAAATAAGGGTTCCATATAAATAAATGTTACCCTTTACAGGGTGATTTTTAAATTCCGGACCGCTAAATTTTTTTTTAACGGCATGTGGGAGAAACCCACGTGACCTAGTATGGGAAAATGTGTTTTGCAATATTCCAACTTTCTCTAAAATGAAAAAAATATTTTAGGCTAAAATTTTGAGGGTTCATAGATTTGGATACAATGCACCGCGCTGTTCACCTGAAAAAACTTAATTTTGCGTTTAATTATTTAAAAACTAAGTTTAAAAAGTTTAATTTTTAAAACGAAAATGACAAGAAAGATGACGGCGGATACACAGATGTTGCTTGAGTGTGTCAGTGCTCCAGAAAACAGCGCCAATTCTAGCAAGTGGCCGCTGAATCAACTATGATATAATACATTATTTTACTATTTATTGCTTTATTTTTATTATTTTTACGTTAAGTGAAGAACAGCCCTATGCTTTGCACCCTTATTTATCTAGTCTTAAATATTTTAACCTAAAATCTTTATTTATTTCAGAGAAAGTTGGAATCCACAAAAAAACGTCCTTTGCCCACATGGCCTTAATTCCACTTTTTTTTGTTTAAAAAACGAAAAAATATGATAATAAAATACTTTTAGGGAGTCCGGAAGATAAAAATCACCCTCTATAACAAACAATTTTACTTACACGATGTTCCGAAAAAGTATTGAATCAAGAATATTATGTTTAACTGAGGTTTAAAAAATTAAAATATTATTATTAATAAATATTTGGATTAAAAATTATCAATCACTACTATGTCAATAAAAACACAGTTGGCTCGGAGTGATTAATAATTTTCATCCAATATTTATTATTTTACCGAGTGATAAATTAATTTTTTTTTATTATTATTAAATTTTATTTAATCATCGTTATCACTGAAATTTATAAACAAGTGCACTGTTTTTTAAATATGGTTATTTGTTTAAGAAAATTATTTTTTAAAAAAATAATTATATTTAAAAAAACGATGCACCTGTTTAAAAATCCTAGCGTTGAAGATATTAATTATTATTTCCTGAAGAAAATAAGCCATCAGATTATTTGTGAAAAATTTTTTTGGAAATTAAATAATTTTTGTAAGTTTTAAATTTTGTTCTTGATAATTGGTATCAGTTCTTCCAATGAATACTATTTTAATTTTTTAAACATCAATTATTAAATATTTTTTCTGGAGGTCTGCAATTTTAGCTATGAACGTCCTTAATATTTTACATTTCGTATACAAGTTGATTTATTTCTTGGGCGAATTACATATTTTCTTGGATCAAGAACATATGCATTCATCCCAAACATAGTATATAGCAAAACAATCATTTTCTTGAACCAATGCCATAATTGATTTGTCCGTATTCAATTCCATGATTTATTTGAAACAAATAAAATTTTCTTGATTCAATACTATTTTTTTTGAAGATTTCTATAGAATTTTAACTTCGATATGACGAAATTGTTATAATTGTTAACAAATTATACTTATTTATAATCCCTAATACTTTTAGTACAAAATTGAATTTTTTCTTTTCAATAATATTGAATAAAAATTCAACAAATGTTATATCATATATGACATAAAAAATTATAAAAATAAAAATGATATAAAATTTAACTTTTTTTTTGACCCACAAAAAAATCCAACATTTTCGGAAACTAGGACCAAAAAAAATTACCTGTGTCTGGCCTTTTTGCTAGATCAAGTCGTTTGTGGTTTTTAGGGGTGAAAACAACCCCTGAATGAAAAGTGACAAGATATCTTTTAAAAATTATTAATTTTTTTATAAAACTTGGTATCTGGGGGTTTTTGGGGTCGTTGATTATTAATATGATATCAGATTTTCAAAATTCAAAATGGCGGATCCAATATGGCGGTCAAAATTTTAAGAAGTTATTAATTTTTTATTTTGGATCCGCCATTTTGAATTTTGAAAATCTGACATCAAATTAATAATCAGCGACCCCGAAAACCCCAGATACTAAATTTTATAAAATATTAATAATTTTTAAAAGATATCTTGTCACTTTTCATTTAGGGGTTATTTTCACCCCTAAAAACCACAAACGACTTGATCTAGCAAAACGGCCAGACACGGGTATTTTTTTTGGGTCTTAGTTTCCGAAAATGTTGGATTTTCTTGTGGGTCAAAAATCGTGTCGGACGGTGATATATTATGAAATAGTATAATATTATACAATTATACAAATTTTCTAATTATTATAATCTCTTAACTTTTCTTATCACCGCTTCACGAGAAATAATTCTAAATTTTTGGCTATGTTGAATTCCAAATATATAATCGAAACTTCCAATTACTTGTATAACTCTATGAAATGAAAATATATAGTTAATTTATTTTTTTCATATCAATTGTTTTCATTTAATCACTCTATTCAGTTATTGTTTCTGTTCGTTCTTAAATTTTTGGCTGCATTAAATTCCAAATAAAATTATAACTTCCAATTACTTGTATAACTCGATGAAATAAAAATATAATAAATTATAAAAAATTTATTTAAAAAATTTTTTAAATTAATATTATAACTCTGTTGAGTTATTGTTTCTATTTGTTCTTAAATTTGTAAATTCTCGACAAATTTGAAGAAAATAGATCTAAATTTTCAAATATATTTTATTACTTTTAGTATAGAAAAATGATATTTTAAAATTTAATCATTTAAAAAATAATTCATATACTTTTCATAAAATATTTAATTTAAACAAACAAACAAAATTTTATGTTTAAAGCTATAAAAATAAAAAATTTATTTTTCTGACTTTTGATTATGACACTGAAAGCTTTTAAACTTTATACAATTTCGAAACGTGAACCAAATATAAAAGAAATGTGCATATGAAGTTCAGAACACGTTCAAATGAACGAAATCAATTTTTTTAGTCTATAAATTTTTTTAAAATTACTACATCAATAAAAATAAAAAGGTTATACATTAAATATTTAATAAATTATTTATTTATTTTTCGATAGTGAAACCAATAAATTATCATAAAATTTAAAGTTAAAATACAAATTTTTCGTTCAATTGTTCAAGTATATTGCATCTCGATTTACATTTATAAACTATTTTTAAAATGGACAAATTAATCTAGAAAATATTAATATTAAATCGTGAATAAATTTATTCATCTTGTATTTAATTATTATATGAATTAAAATTTTTGCCAAATAATTAAAATAGCAACTTTTCTATATTCCATATTTTTAATAAAAAAAAAAAACGTTCTAAATTTTGTCAAGAAAAGAATACTTCAATTATTTTTTCTCATAATAATAAACCAAAAAATATTTTCCAACCAAATCGAGAAATTCTACTTATCGCTTTTCCCTTTTTTTCGCCATGGAATTTTCTACACATTGCAATTTTATTTGTTCAATTTACATTTTCCCATAAAAAAAAATATGTTCATAACCCCTATAAAATTATTTATTCTCAAATCATTTTTACCTTCTCCTGAAAGAGAAATAAATATAAGTATAAACCTATTCTCAACTTCACTCAACTTTGGAAATGTGCACAAAGAGATAAGAGATTTTTTTTTTTCTCGCACACTTGCAAACATTTTATTTTTTCAACACTCGTAATTGTGAATTCCTTTTTTTCTCCATTTAAACTATTTTAAATCAAAATACTATAGAAATAATGCAAAAAAAAGTTTCGTAAAAAATGAATAAAGAAAACCTAACCCCATTATAATGCAATTTTTCTTGCACGATTACACATTACTTGTGAAATATACATAAATCATTGTTTAATGATTAAATAGTAAAATATTATTACCTTCTGATGAGTAGAAATATGGATCTAAACTGTAAATATATTTATTATTATCACTTTTAGAAAAATAAAAGCACAAAACTGGAGGGTAGACGCTGAAAGTGACCGGAAATGCAAAGCGTCAAGATAGTGGTGGGCCCAAAGGATTCTGCGCATGCGTCGATCACATGGTCCCACCAAAGCTTTACTGGCGCGCAATTTAAAAATGAATTAACATTAAATACTTGAATTTTAATCATTTTTACAGAAAATAATTTTAAAAAAATTCTATTACAAGTTCTCTAAATTATTAGATGTGTGTTTGAAATTAAATTTATAGTGAATATACATTATTTTACGCAAAATAATTATATAATGAAAAATAAACATTTTTTGTTAATTTATTCAAATGTAAATATAAATTAGTTTAAAAAATTAACTTTTATATAAATACAATTTAAAATATACTTTTTTTTAAATATTCGTTTTTAGTAATAAAAATTAATAAAAAAATGGCAACAAACGAATATAAAAAAAAAATTAATATAAAATTTCAATGAATAAACATGAATTGAAAAAATTTTAATAATAAAAAAATGTAACTTTTCATTTATTACATATATTGCAATTACATGATATTTAATTTAAAATTCAACAAGAAAAAACACATGTATATGTAATATTACAGTAAAAGTAACAAATTAACATCAAATTGTTTTTAAAAATAATGTAATCGTAAATATTTAAAAAATTAATCTAATCTATAAATGCACTTTTAAAATAGTAGATAAACAAATTATACAAATAAAATATATACTTTAAATATTAAATGCATATTATAAATAAATTATTTCATAAAAAAAATGATACAATTCATTTGTATTGTTTACAATATTCAAAAAGCATTTTATAACTAAATACAATTTTTCGAAAATTAAGAAAAGAGTGCTTTCTCTTGAAAAATAACTCAAGTTTTTCAAAAATAATTTTTAAATTTTAATTTAGATTTACATTTTATTATATTGATATAATAGCAACAAAAAAAGCATAAACTTTAGTTAATTACAAATAGATCTTTTTAAACAATTCACAATGAAAATAAAAAATATTATTTATTGTTTTTATGTCAATTTTAAAATCAATTAATATATCGCGCCTGCGCGAGTCAAATTAACTTTTCTATAGGAAAAAGAATTCACTGTCATTAAAAAATTCCATCTTATAGACAAAAACGTGAACATAAAACACTCCTTTCTTAATTTATGAATAACGAGAAAGTCACACAATAATCACATGACTACATTAAATAATGCAATCTAATATCAAAAGTTTCGTAATCGAAAATAAAGAAAAAAAAGCACTAAATTTCTAATAAATTAAACATAAAAACATAATTATTTCTATAAGTACGGACAATTATTTACTAATTCAATTAAAATTTCCATTGATTTTGATTTTTTAAATTTTGTAAAATACCTTAATGGAAAAATTATAATTTTCGTCACTTTCAACAATATCGTTGTCATTATCGTCTTAATTATTATTTTTTGTTATACGATGCCAATTAATATATTAGAATATATTTCTTAATTCTATAAAAAGGAATTGATTATCACATCAAGTGATAATTTCACCACTATGATTTAATATCGATTTCTTAAATGCAATCTTGACAATTTCTTTTTTTTTGACATTGAAAAATAATTTTTTCTCTCTCAATATTCTTGATTTGATGTTAAATTTTACGAGCTGTCTCTTTTTTTTCTCTTCTATTCTACAGTGACTGATTTTGCAAGATTCCTGGGACAATCAATGTTACAGCCTCGTAAAACAGCAATGTGAAATGACAAAAGTTGCATTGGAATCACCGTCAAAATTCCTTGAAGACAATCAACAGTTTTTGGTATTTCCAAAGTTCTATCAGCAAACGATTTTGTTTCCTCGTCACCTTCCTCGCAAATAATAATTGGCCTTCCTTCACGTGCCGTCACTTGTTGCAAGGCGTTCATACATTTCTATAGAAAGAGGGGAAAAAACAGAATTAGAAATATAATAATATTGAATATTTATATTAAACTAAAAATAAATTATTTTATTTCTTAATTTTTTCGACCTTAAATTTTATATTTAAAGAGACAGGAACTTTACGCTTTTCACAAAGACGATTTATGCTCTCAAAAAAGTAGATAGAAAAAATAATAGAAAAAGAATTTGCTATTTATTTTTATTAAACTTTAAAAAAAAATTTTTAAACAAATTTTTAATTAAATTGAACAATTTTTATGTTTCTTTCTTTATTTTAGTTTTAATGAAAAAAAATTCTAATTAAATAGAAATTTAAAAAATAATGCTAATTAAAAATAATTTTATTGAATTAAAAATAATAAAATTAATCTGAAATTTTTAAATATTATTGAAAAATATTGCATGAAAATAGGAAAAATGTTAGGCTTATAAATTTCAAGGTCTTTATAGAAATGAGAAAATTAATAATATATTATGAAGCAAAAAAAAAAAGAAAATAGAAAAACTCACGACATAAACTGGATCTCGCATGACAATCATAATGACTGGCATTGAATCATCAACAAGAGCTAATGGGCCGTGTTTTAATTCTCCAGCCATAATACCCTCGCTGTGCATGTATGTCAACTCTTTCACTTTCTAGAGAAAAGAAGGAAAAGAAAAAAAATGAAATAACAAAAATCGATAAATTATAATATAATCACAAAAACAAACAAAATAAAAAATTTACCAGAGCTCCCTCCATACATGTGGCAAAATTATAACCTCGGCCCATAATAAGAAGTGATTTGTGCTGGAATAGTGATTTTGCAAGTTCCTTCACTTTGTCGTCCAATTTAAGTACCTCACGAATTTGGTTATCCAAATTTTTCAAACCCTCGATAATCTATAATAAATTAAAAAAGTTTATATTTTATTTCACAATGAAAAATAAAAAAAAATAAATAAATAAAAATTCTAAAAATTAAAAAAAAATATAAATCTCCTAAAATTATTAACACACAATTAGAAAAATTATTCATGCATGATAAGAGAAAAATTTTGCAGTAAATCGTAAAATTAGAAAAGAAAAAATAGAAATCAAAAGAAAATAACTAATGGAAAAATCACCTGTTCACGTCGAGCCTTCAGAGAAATTCGATCTTCACTCATTACAAGGGCAAACATGACAAGAGAAATAAATTGAGAAGTGTATGCTTTTGTACTTGCAACACCGATTTCTGGACCTGCGTTAATGTGAACTCCACAATGCGATTCACGACAAATGCTACTGCCAACTGTATTTGTAATTCCAACAATCAATGCTCCTCTTCCTTTACAATAACGAAGAGCCATTAATGTGTCAGCAGTTTCACCTGAAAAAAAGAAGGCAAATAATTTCCATTTACAATCAATTTCAATGTAAGAATTTAATTAGAAATCGTTTATTTCAATTAATTTTAAAAGAAAAAATTAACAAAACTTGGAAATTAGATTTCATACAAAAGATTCATATTTCATACAAAATCTAGCGGATTAGCAAACTATTTTATTTCAGAAAAATCGAATTTATTTTTGTTATTCACAAAGAATAAATTTTTTTTTTTCAATTATTTTATACAATTTTCTGTATTTAGTTTTGAATTTGTAAATATTTTTTATTTTTTTTATACAGAAAGCAAAAATAAATTATTTTCTATAAGAGAAGATAATATTTTTTTATTATTCTTTCTATCAAATTAATTATTGTAATTATTGTACCCAAGGACCATTTTTATTTAATACCAAGGCCCGTTTATGAGTATAAAAACAAATTAAATTTAAAAAAGTATTAAAAAGATTACCTGATTGTGATATAAAGAAACAGACGTCATCCCTAAAAACGGGAGTATTTCGATCCAAAAAATCAGAAGCAAGTTCAACCATTACTGGCAATTCGGTCAATTCTTCCAAAAGTTGTCTCGTTGCAACTGCTGAATGATAACTTGTTCCACAGCCAATGAGCATTAAGCGTCTACACCTTTTTATTTCCGGTATATAGTCCTAAAAAAAAATAATTGTTTTCTATTAATAATTTATTTTTGTTAATTGAAAATTAATCATATTTTCCAAACAGGTTTCTTTACATTTTTTTGCTGCAAAATGTAGGGAAAAAAATTATTTTAATTATGCTAGTTTAAAACTAATAAATTATTTTTAAAATCAAAAAATTAAAATAATATTTACAATCGCATATTATATAATTGTCAATATTAATTTTATAAATTAGATTTTATTAAATCAAATTTTCATCAAGCAAATTAATTTCTATTTAACAAAAATTTTCATTAGCAGTAGAATTTTTTACTTCAATGTTTTACTTTCACCTATCTTCAAAAATCGAGGAAATAAGTTTATATAAAAATTTTTCATTAAAAGAAAACAGAATATTTATATTGAACGGAATTTTTATTTTAAAAAATCTATATTAATCGAAATTTTCAATTAATAGAATTTTCATTTATATTTAACAGAATTTCAATTTCTATATATTTGAATTTTTTTAATAATGACATTTTTATTCAACAGAACTTTCAATTGTTCAAAACAATCATTCGGCGTAAAAAATTTTTATAACTCTAATTTAAAAATTAATAAATTGGGATAAATACAAATTGGCTGAAATAAATATTCTCAAATTATTAAATTTTTTTTAACCAAATAGAAACAAAAAAAAACTTTACTTAAACAAATTAGTTTTCATTTAATAGTTTAAGAATTAAAAAATTAAATGTTAAATAAATTTTGAGAATTTCTAAAATAAAAGTAGAATTTTAAGGAAAATTTTAAAACACGAACAGTTTGAGAAAAACATTGAGAAAAAAAATCAATTTTAGAAAGGAAAATAGAAAATTTAAGGAAATACAAGAAAAACTTTGAAAGAAAAATCGAGAATTTTAGAAATTTACAATTATTTATCAGGAAACACGAGATTTAAAAAAAATTAAAGCAAATTAAAAAAAATAAAAAATCGAAAATATTGCAAGAAAAATTTTAGGAATTTCAAATTAAGAGAATTTGAAGAATAATCTGTCATAATAAAATTTAAAAATTTCAATAAACATATATATAAATTACAACTTCTAATTAACTTTATAAAAGTGCAAATTAATTTTTTATTGACACTAAAAAACTGAAATGAGTCTTGTAAAATTAAGTTAATTGATAACTTCTGTTTGTTTATGATGTCGAGTAAAATTGCAATGACGTATATATATATATATATATATATATATATATATATATATATATATATATATATACAACATTTAATAGTGAAAATTCTTACTTTAATACCACCGAGAGTGACGGAGTTGTTTTGGAAATTAAGACGTCCTCTCATTGTATTAACGACAGATTCTGGCTGCTCGAAAATTTCCTTCTGCATGAAGTACTCGTAATTACCCTTCATAATCTGTTGGATCTCCATCTTCAAAATCGTAATTTCTCGAGCATGAGGATCATCCATACAACGACGAACACGATGAATATTCAAAGTTCCATTCATCACAGCAGCAACGTCGTCATCCTGATAAATTATATTTCAAAAAATTTTAAATACAAACAAATAACTTTAATTTCTCACTGTAATTATTTTTCTTAAATATAAATGTCTATTATTTTTTATTTTATTTATAATATTATTTTTAGTTGTATTTTTAATATTATTATTCATATTATTTTTATTTAGTAAAAGTTATTTTAAGAACATAACAAATTTCGCAATAATAATTGTAAATATTCAAGAAAAAAATTTTTCTTTTTTTTAAACTGTAATTGAAAACTTAACGCGATCGAGTTTTATTTTAAATAAACACCATAATTATAGAATTTGTAGTTAAAAAAAAATATAAAAAACAAAAATTGATCAATTTCTAAAAATTAAAAAAAAATCATTTAGAGACACAATAAATTATAATGATTTAATAAAAAATAAAAAAAAAAGTTTAATATTTTCAGAGAAAAGATAAGTTAAATTTTGTATTTATTTCTATTGAAAAAAAATTAACACACCTTTTTTTTTTTACTGAAATTAGATTTTTTTTACGATGATACGATCAAAGTGGAGCGCACTATCAATAATTGTAACATTTTTTCTGACTTCAATCACGGTACTTGAGCATTTAATGAGTCACAAATGTGAAATTCGTTTCAACAATATTGTTGAAATCAGAAAATCATTATTATTTTTTAATGTGAAATTAAATACAATATTTACTGACTTCAGAAGTTTATTATCATTTTTTAAATAATGAATCATTAACTATTTTTATTCTCTTCTCCAAATTATTATTATCATCGAATTATAATGTTTATTTATAGAATTTTATATCTTTTTACAAGTGAATAAAAAGAAACAAAATTTATGTAACGAAATATTTCTTTCTTCAAATTTTTAATTATTATTATTATTTATTACCTATTATTTGATTTAAAAAAAATTCAATGAGCTGGAGAAGCAGCCAAACAAAAAAATTCGATTATTTATAGAAATTTCCCTAAATAAAATTTAAATAATAAAATTATTATTATAATAAAATTTGATTGGAAATTCAAAATAATTAGGAATTATTTTTGTAATTTGAAAAAAGTGTATGTAAAATTTGCTAAGGAATAGAAAAAAAAAATTACCTCCATAAAGATGACACGATTAGTGTGCTCAATAACGGCACTTGCATCAGATGCAAAAAAATACTCGACTTCTTTATCTTCCAATGGTTGGAACTCGGAAGTACTCTCGCTTCTTGGCATAACCGGAATTTCTGTTGGTCGACCATGAGGACGATGATCTAAAAATAAATCATTTTTCTCTATGACTTATTGTCTAATTATTCAAAAAAAAAAATCTCAATTATATTACACTAACAAATAGATATTATTTATACAAAATTAAAGCAATAGAAATTAAAAATTAATTTATTCATTCATTTTCTCCACAAACCACATAATCATACATACAAATTTATATATATATATATATATATATTTGCCATTAAAGCCTATTTCCACAATCACCAGTAACAAAATCACAAAAAAATATTTACCTAAAAATTACAAATCATTATTGCAAAAAAATGGAAATAATTACTTTTTTTTATTAGTGTCCTAAATAGAGAGATTAAAATAAAATAATAAATGGAATTATTAGTTATTTCTAATATATATATTTACCAATAATGTTAAACAGAATTTGAAAATCAAATTCAGCAGACTTTGAAGCGTAGGACCTATTCTGCGAAATATTATTCATGCAAATGAAGCAAAAAAAAAAAAAAAATTACAATATATTTTTTTAAAAAAACAAGAAGTACCTTTAGTTGGTGCTTCACCATCTGATGCACATGGGAAGACAAGAGATGAAAAACAAAAAATGAAATCAATTAAAAACCATATAGGACAATCACAAAAGAATAAAAATTTTTTTGCCTAAATAAAATTTCAAAAAAGGAAAACTTAAACGCATTTAATAAAAATTAAAAAAAAAATATTTCGACTTTTTCTAGTTACAAAAATTTAAAAAAAAATGAAATTATCTATTTATTAAAAACGATTAAAAAAAATTTTAGGAAATTATTAAGAAGACTAAAATTAATATTAATGAAACAGAAAATAAATAAGTAAAATCAAATATAGAAATTAAATATTGAAAAAATATATCAAATAAAAATGCAAAAAGAAAAAAAATATAAAAAAGTCGGACCTTCTTCCACTTTTATGAGGAAAGAAAATAAAATAAAAAAACAAAAATCCCCCAAAGAGACAAAAGCGTAGAAACATATCTGGCAAATGAAAAACGAAAAAGTAAAATAAACCACTTTTTTTGTTTTCTTTTTGAACAATTGGCAGTATTGATGCTCATCAACAGAAAGGATTTATTGCCTGAAAGCGATTGAAGGTATAATTTTATTAATAAAATATACCTTTCGGTGTGCGTGGAAGGTCATCTGTTCAGACGAAAAATTGTAGAACGAACCCAGTAGTTGTTCATGCAAAAGAAACATTCATATAGTATCCAAATCAACCGCAATAACAAGAAATCTATTATAAAGAAATTTTTTCAAGCAACATACCTCGCAAGCACTAATATAAATATTATTAAATATCTACAATCAATAAAATATTTATCTCAATTATTATTTTTTTTTCTAATTAGAAATTCCACTCAATCAAAATATATTCTACTCACAAAGTACTGAAAATTTAAAAAATAAATAAACTTTTGTATTATGAAACGAAAAATTAACATCTTTAATTAATTTTGTTACTTACAAAAAAGGAAAAAAATTACTATTCTTTTGTAATTTAAAACAAAGATTCTTAAGAAACATTTTTAAAAATTTCTTTTAAATAAATAAAATTTTAAAATATCGTAAAATATTAAATAAAAATTGTTATGATTGTAGTTTTTAATAAAGAAAGTGTTGTTAGTCATTATATTTCATCCAAAGCCATTGTTTAAATTTTATTTTTGAAACACAATGAAATTAAAAATTCCACCATCCAAAGTTAAAATTCAGTTAAAAGTGCTTTCAAACAAAACACAAAATTAGGTGCGTAAATAAATAATATCAAAAATTATAAAAAACAAAAGTGAGAAAAATATCTTATTAGTTTTGAATAAAAGTTAAAAAAAAAATTTTTTTAAATATAATTACAATAAAAGAAGCTCATTGGTTATTATAAGTTTTAGTAATAATTATTTAAATTCATGCAATAAATTTAGTCATTATATTATATCGAAAAAAGTAAATAAATTGTTAGTTAATAAGAGAAAAAAGTAAAGAGTAATTTAATTAGAAAAATTAATTATTTCACAACTCCAAGTGGTATTAAAATCCGACCTTGTTTTCATAGAATTTTTTGCTCCACAAATACCTAAACAATAAAACAAAAAAAAAAAAAAAAAAAAAAAACCCACATACTTTTCGAATTCTACATATTCCATCACAATATTGTCCTGTAAATTCTACAAAATAAAGAAAATCGATCTCTAATATTTCAGTAATTCATACCTTTCCCATAGAGAATTGGCACATGATCGGTAGCTAAACGTTTTTTCGTTTTTATTCCAACCAATAATGGAGAACCTCGCCTTGTAGCGACACATTCGTCCGGAAAATATTTACTTTTGAAGCAAAGGGCAAAAGCACCTTCCTAAAAATGATAATAAAAAAAAGAATTATTATCAAATGCTTTGAGATTAGATAAAAAAAAAAAATTTTTTTTAATTATTTTTATTAAAACAAATACAAATTGTAGATCAATTAACTAAAACACTATATCTAATTTTTGGAGACTCATAATTTCTTCAATTTAAAAATATATTTATTATTTAAATATTTATGTATATTATTTATTTATTCTGTATTTATTTGTTATTTTTAATTTAATTGAATTTCCATTTCACAGAATTCTCTAGTCAATCAAAAATTTACTATTAGCATAACTTTTTTGAAACTAGATTTCCAATTAAAAGTATTTCTATTTAACATAATTTTCATTTTACTAAATTTGCATCTCAACAGATATTTTAATTAATTGAATATTTATTCAACATAGGTATTCTTTATTTAATCCACTGTTTATTTATTTATATTTTAAGCAGATCTTTTATTTATATTAGCAAACTTATAATTTATATCCAAAAATTGATACTTAATCTAATCTTCCATTTTAACAGTATTTTTAAATCCCATAATTTCTATTTCCTCGAATTTGATATAATTATCAAGTTACCTAAATTTAGATCAAATTCAATTTCGGTTACTTGATAATTATATCAAATTACGAATTCGAAGAAATAATAGTTACATCAAATGAAGATTCGGTAAAATGAAATTTCTTAAAAAATTGTGCAAAATAGAAGATTCATTTAAATAAAAGTTCTGTTTAATTAAAATTTACTTATAATAAAAATTTTGTTAAATACAGGCCTCTGATCGACATAAAGGCACAAAAAAAGTCGAAAAAGTCGATTTTTTTATTTTAACAAAAACATTTTACAGATTTTTAAATAATTTTTTTATTTTAACAAAAACATTTTACAGATTTTTAAATAACTTTTTTATTTTAACAAAAACATTTTACAGATTTTTAAATAATTTTTTTTTTTAATAATAATACTTTTGGAAGGGTTAAAGTTGAAATTTTTAGAAATAATTGAATTTCAAAAGATTTTGTTAATTTTCAGACAATAATGGTTTCAGATAGTTAAATTTTCAAAGAATATTATAAAAATAGTTAAAAATAATTGAATTTCCTTAGAGTTATAACTGAAATAGTTAAATTTCAAAAAATTTTAGAAATAATTAAATTTTAGAAGCTTTTAAATTCAAATTTTTGAAAATAATTGAATTATAATTGAAATTTTTGATAATAATTCAATTTTAGTTGATTTTGAATTGAAATTTTGGAACATAATTGAATTTCAATTGAAATGTTGGATAATAATTTAATTTTAGTTGATTTTTGATTGAAAATTTTGATAATAATTAATTTTGAATTGAAATTTTGGGTAATAATTGAATTTTAGCTGATTTTTAATTGAAATTTTTGAAAATAATTCAATTTTATTTGATTTTGAATTGATTTATGATTTTGAATTAAAAATTTATGGTAATTTTATTTGATATTTTTTTAAATTATAAATAATTGTTAAATTTTATAAAAATTTTAATTGAAAAATAATTTGAAATAATTGAATTTGTGATGAATTTCATTAAAATTATTAAAAATAATTAATTTAGTAAAGAATTTTAGTTAAAAATTTGTTAAATAATTGAAATAAAGAAGATCTGTAGAAGATCTGCATTTTATACTAAAAAAAATATATTTTATTTTAAAAACTTTTTTAAAAATGTAAAAAAAAGTCGAAATAGTCGCATTTTATTAAAATAAGTCAAAAAAAGTCGGAAAAAGTCAAAAAAGTCGTATAATCAGAGGCCTGTAAATATAAATTATGTTAAATCCGAATTTAGTTACATCAAAATACTATGAAGGGAATATTCGATGAAGTAAACATTTACTTAATAAACAATTCTTTTGCCTACATTAAAATTATTATTTATGGAAAATTTGTAAAATTTAAATTCCATTAAATGAAAATGCCCTTAAATAAAAATTCTATTAAAATGAAAATTTTCTGAAATCAGGAAATTTATCATAAAAAAAAATGCTGTCAAATAAAAATTTAATGCAGTAAAAAATCTACACAATATTATAATTCGCTAAAATATAAATTTTATCAAATACCAATTCGAAGAAATAAAAATTTCATCAAAAAGTAAAACTAAAATTAGCAATTTGATAAATTTTGCCATTTATTACTATATTAATATTTAAATATGAATTTTTAGTGGGACAATACTTTTTTTTACAATTTTATCAAATTAATGTTTACGTTTATTTCTGTGTTTAATAATAAGTTATCGTATGTATAAAGTTACTTTTTTTTACAAATCTCTCGTAAACATTTGCTTTCTCGTTTCTCAATCGAGGAAGTAAGAGGCTTCGTTACTTTGTATTTATAATGTTTTGCAAATACTGTTAATAAACAAGATAAAAGGATATATTTATATGGATGGAGACAGGGCATACAAGTGGTTGAAAAATAAAAATAAAAACAAGAATACTCACTAGTTGTTGAACGACTTGTTCGACGAGTTCGCGAAACGAGTAGGTCGGATGTTGAACCCAGAGATGATGAATTAACTTGGCAATTATTTCCGTGTCAGTTTCGCTCTCAAAAATATATCCTCTTTGTTCCAAAAGTGTTTTTACTTCCTTGTAATTGGTAATTATACCTGTTGTTAACAAAATAAATTACAAATATATGCATTATACTGTTTCGTTTTCAATTTAAAGTCAATTAAATTGATTTATTATTAAATAATTTTAATATAAGCTTTTTTAAAAAAAATTAGGCTAATGAAGAATTATATGAGAAATAGCTATTAGGCCAAATAAGAATCAGATTAAAAAAAAGATTAGAAATCAAATTAATATTTGTCAATAAAAACTAAGGCTATAAGGCAATTGTGATAATTAAATTTAAAACAAATTTAGTAATTATTATATTTGAAGAAAATTTTAATAACTTCAATTTTTCTATATTTAATCATAGACTATTTTAATAGACAAATTAAAATTTAATTTTGAATTGTAAAAAGAAGATAGTTATCAGATATAAAAAATTAAATAATAATTTTAATAATTACCATTGTGGACAACAACAAAACCATGCTCATTGTCAGATCGTTGGGGATGAGAATTGACTTCAGATGGAACACCATGAGTTGCCCAACGAGTGTGAGCAATTCCAACGTGACTCTCTATTTTTGATTCAAAATCAAAATTCATGCCTAAAAATAATAGAATATATTATAAGAGAAATAAAAAAAAGTGATATAAATTCATAGGAAAAAATTAATAAAATAGCAAAATTAAATGAATTACATTAAAAAAAATTTATTTGATGTAAATAATCGGTTACTTGACTATTACCAAATAAATATTTACTTGAACCAAATAATTTTATTTGAATTAAATAAATTATTTGAACAAAATAATTTCTGTATTTGAAACAAATACCATTTAATTTACTCAAATAATAATTGTTTAATAAAAATAAATATTTATTTGATATAATAGTCAAGTAACCGATTATTTGAATAAAATAATTTTTTTTCAATATTAAAAAAAATTCATTATTATACAAATTCATTTGTTAACATAATTTTCATAACAAGCATTTATAATGCCAGATTTTTATTTAGCCGAATTTTCCTAAAGTATAATTATTAAATAAAGCAAATTTTTTTTCAAAGTTCAATTTTTATTAAAACCGAATTTTCATAAAATAAGATTTCTACCTGAACGAATTTTTATATAAAAATATAATATAAAATTAAAAAATTGTATTACAATAAATTAGAATAAAATAGAAATTCAGTAAAATGAAAATATGATGAAATATTTGATAAAATATTCTCTTGTATAGAAATTTAGAAAATTTTTTAAAATTAATATTCATTTCTAAATTAATTGAAATAAGACCTGATTGAAATTAACAAAATTACTTACAGTGAAATATTTCCTCTTCGAGGGCAATAACTTTCCCTTGTTTTTTGATGATTGAAATGTCATTGCCACCTGGAGTGTCAAGGGCAACTCCTGAAACATTAAAAAAAAAAAAACAGGGAAAAAGTTAGAAAAAATACAATCTTCAAGCAAAATTCTTCTCCTTTCTCCTCTCTCTTATATGAGTTTAGGAATCAACAAAACGACATTCTTGCTGATTGTCCTCACGCAAATAAAATATATGCGAAAAACGAGAAATTCTACCTGTGATTTTAAAGGAATGCAAAATAAAAAAAATATCAATGGCGCCATATATAAGATTCACTCCAATTTGTTTTCAGTGTACAATTTTTCTTCTAAAATCCCACAAAAATTATAATATAATCATTTTTATTTATATATTGGAAATTTCCAAAGATTTATTATCTTTAAATAAATTTCATTAAAAAAAAGAGTGTTTCAAGGCTTAAAACCAATTCGAATCACGTCCTCATTTTTTTCATTTTATTTTCAGGGCGCATTTTTTTTTTTTTTTTTTTTTTTTTTTTTATTAACTTTCCTGCAAATCAATTCTCGTTTGTCACATTATCAAGAATATATTCGAGGTCATATTGCCATAAAATTTTTCGTTTTATTTTTAAAAGTAATTTCTTTTTTCCCAATTTATCACTTTACTTTGGAAATTTTATTAACAATTTATATAGAACTTCATTATAATAAATACTATATTTTATGTGATAACGAGTTTGATTTAATAATAATTGCTTTTTTGACTAAAGTGTTTTTTTTCTTCGTATTTTTTCAAACAAAATTAATAAATAAAAGAACAAAATTACATTAATTTTATGAAATCAAGAAAAAGATGTTAGCAAATTTTTAATTTCAATAAAAAGAGAAAAAATTAGACTGATCGTGATTTTACAATTATTAAAATATATGAAATAAAAAAAATAACTAAATAATAATAATAATAATAATAATAATAAAAATAAAAATATTTTAAAAATAATAATTAATAATTTTACCAGCTGAGTCATATCCTCGGTATTCGAGCCTCTTCAGTCCTCCAACCAAAAGTTCAAGAATCTCTCTTCGGCTCTTTGGAGTCAAATAGTTCAAATATGCGAAAATACCTGAAAAAAATTCAAAGAACAAATATTAAAAAAAGAAAGAAACATTTAAATCACAAATTTTAGCAATTTTTTTTTTTTTTAAGAAAAAATAGAAAAAAAAGTATAAAACAAAAAATATTTTTTCAAATTATATATATATTTTTGTAATATAATTATTTTATAGTATAATTATGATTTAGTATTTATTTAGTATTTGTGTACGAAAAGGCGTTATCCGTAAATCTTCGAAATAAATAAATAATTTTAAAAAAAACGCTTTTTATTTTTATAAAAATTTTATTATATAATTAAAATTAAATATTATAATCGCAAATGTAAGAAATAAAAAAAAATTTCAAAATAAAAAGAAAAAGAGTAAAATTATTATTATTTGTTATCAATGCCGGGGGTTTTCATACTAAGCTGTATTATCTTCTTAACATCCGCATTACATATTTTTGATAATTTTGCTTCCTACATTACTGTCAATCACAGACTCCTTTAATAAAATTCTCAAATTCGTTTTATCCATTTATCAATTTTTTTATTTTGAATAATTAGTTTAATATAATGTAATTTACAGCAGGTAATTTAATTAATAATTTAATAACACTTATTAATTAATAATTACTAATTATAATAATAACTAATTAATAATTACTAAAAATTAGTAAAAATTAAATATTAAACTAAAAAAAGGTATTTTAATTAATAAAAAATTTCGAATTTCATATTTTTCTGTCATCAATAACTGAAACTCAATTGTTTGTCCAAATTTAAAATTACTAAAATTTTAAGAAACAAAATTAATAATAGAAAAAATAGAACACAATAATTATATGTTCTTCACATATAAAGGGATAAAAATAAATATAATATATCGTAAAATTGATAAAGACCAAACTCAAGTTGGACCAGTATGGTAAATAAAGAGATCTCGTGACATTTGAAGACTTTCAGTTTCACTCGAGTTTCTCACTTTCATTTGTCCTCTCACTTTTTCCATATTATACAAGATTCAAACTTTGAATTGAACACATGTTCATCAGTTGTTAATTATGGAATGATAAACAAATTTTCTCCAAGTAAATAAACATATTTTATGTATTATAACTATACCTATTAATATAAATGTGGACTTTTCTTCAAATCAATAAAATATGTAAATTTTCAAAAAAATACACCGGCTTAGATAATTTTTAGTGCAATAACAATATTTTTTAATTCTAAATTATGAAATGAAATTAATGAAATTTTATATAATAAAAATGAATTTTCAAAAACACTTCTACCATCACTATATAATATATAAAAGAGTTCTAAACTAGTCGATAAATTTTATAAAGTAATTTTCTATATCAATAAAAAAAATGTCGATAAACTCTTATAATACCCACTTGGACTTAAAAGATTTAATAAATTCCTTCCAAAGAATATAAATTTTGTTTTATTTCTTATGTCATGTAATTTTGATCTTTGTGGAAAAGAAAGAAAAATTATTACTACAAAAAAGGGAAGAATATCGAAAAAGAAAGAAAAAAAACTATTCACTTCTTTTTTATTTATACAGTTTCGCTATCTTTCGCTTTTGATGACTAAGAAAATTTTTTTTAAAATACTGATCGTTTAATATCATCCTCTAGTTACGAGATTAACGGAATTATTTACTGAAGGTTACAATTCCAAAGTAAGAATAATATTGATTAAAATATTTAAAAAAAAATTCCTATCCGACAAATAGAAGAATTTTTGAAAAATTTAATTTATAAAATTAATAATGATGTACAGAAATAAATCAATATATATATATATATATATCAACTCAAATAATTCCAAATAAGAAATAGAAAATAAATTTTCCCTAAAAAATTTATGTTAATTTAATTTCAAAATTATTGTTAAAAATTTTTAATTTTTGAATAAATAAAATAATAGACTTTTTGTAATGCGCAAAAGACGAAAAAAAATCAGATTCGTGATAATTTTACAAATATTATATAGCATTAGTATTTTCCAATCACGCTCAGTAAATCGTGATGTATTTGCAGTCACGTCTCGTTTATAGGTAAAGAACCTGTCTCTACAGTAAAACTGTTACAATGTCACGGTCTTCTTCTTCTTCTTCATTTCCTGAAATGTATTTTCTAATGTAGGAAAATTCTTATAAATACTTTTAGTTTGGAAAATAAAAATAATAAAATTTTATTTAGTAGAATTAACATTAACCTGAATTTTTATACTCAATAATTAATTCATTTAAGTCCAAAAAATTTTTATTTAACAAAATTTTTGTTTAACAATTGAATTTCTATTTAATTTTTATTCAAACAAATTTTCCTTATAAACAGAATTTTTATCTAAATTAATTTTTATTTAGCACAATTCTTGTATTTAACAGAAATTCTATTTAACAAAATGTTTAAAATATGTTATGCATAGAAATTTTTTTAATCGGAAATTTTGTGTATTAAAATTTCGGTGATGTAAAAAATTAAAAAATTCGATTTAATACTTATATAAATTATGTTCAAATAAAACGTGGCTTAAATAAAAATTCTCTACAGTGTGAAAATTCTATTTAATATATTAAATTCTACTCGGATCTACTTTATAAAATTCAAAACTTAGATGAATCAAAATTTGGATAAATTGAATTTCGCATAATTTGAAACTTACATCAAATATAAAATTTAGATAAATTAAAATTATCTTAATCTGAAACTTAAAAATCAATTAAAATTTGTATAATTTTTAACTTAAATCAATTAAAATTTGAAAAAATTAAAAATTCAGATAATTTTAAACTAAAATCATTTAACCTTTAGAAAGATTAAAATTTCGTTAATTTTAAGTTTTGATCGGGTGAAAATTTGATTTTTGACCAATAAAAAATTAAAATTTCAATGACTTGAAAATAAAAATAAAAATTTAGATAATTCAAATTCAAATTTGGATCTATTGAAATTTAAATCGAATAAAATTTAATTAAATTGAAATTTCGACGAATTAAAATTAAAACAAATTAAAATTTAAATAAATTAAAATTTTGCATTGATGATTGATTAGAATTGAACTTCAAGTGATTTTTAATTTTTAATTTTTGATGATTTCTCTTACTAAAAAATTTATTAGAAATTGCAGAAAATAATACAATAATTTGAAAAATTTTTAAGTGAAAAATAGTTTCAGATATTTGAATTTTCGAAGAATATTATAAAAATCATTGAAAATAATTGAATTTCAGGAGAATTATAATTGAAATTATTAAAATTCCAAAAATTTTAGAAAGAAAAGTTTAGAAGCTTTTAAATTTAAATTTTTGAAAATAATTGAATTTCAAAAGATTGTGTTAAATTTCAGACAATAATTATAATGAATTTTAGTTAAATATTTGTTAAATAATTGAAATAAAGATCTGAAGAAGATCTACATTGTATACTAAAAAAACGTATTTTGTTTAAAATTTTTTTTAAAAAAAATGTAAAAAAAAGTCGAAAAAGTCGCATTTTATTAAAATAAGTCGAAAAAAGTCGGAAAAAGTCGTATAATCCGAGAATTCATTTGAAATGAATTCAATATTAAAATCGATTACAATTTTAATCAATAAATATTTTAACTACTTTAAATTAAGATTTACTGAAATTTAGCTCAAATAATTTTTAAGTCGATAAATTTTTTTTTGCCAAATTCAAGCTTTAGACTCATTCATTGAAAATGATAAAAATCGGTAATTTTGTATTTTATAAAATAATATTAAGCTCAGGAATATTGAAAAAAAAATTCTATACTTATAAATTATTTTGCAAAATTCCTGAACTTAAATAATTGTTTTTACAATTGTATACTTTCAAAATTATTTTTGAAATATTACATCCGCAAATTAATCGAATCATAAAAAAAGCTTCCTCCACGAGGAAGCAAAAAACGATGAAAAATTTAACAAATTATATTAAAATAGACAAAATAGGTGTCAAAAATTTGAAAAATTTGAAAAAAATGAATAAATGATATAATATAGTGTGCTTCACCTATATTATAAATATGAGATCTAAATAATCGGTCGAAGTGCAATACTTTCTGTGTTAAATGTCAGGAATGCCCATTGAAATATAACGGTCTCGAATTCTGCGTGCCACGAGCATATATAAAGATATATAACTTTCACTTGAATTTGAAGTCGATGAAAATATACCAGTATTTCACAACGATAGGACACCGGTAATAACGCCTGTCCTATCTGTCAAGACTTAGTGTAGGTCGTTGCCCAAAGACACACCTTCAACCCACATTCTCTTTCATTCTTATAAACAAAGTCCTTTTTTTCACAGGAAGTTCAGATATAATAATAATTTATCATAATTTTCATTTTTATAATAGAATTTCTATATTTAGCCGACTATACAATTTTTTTTTATTTAATTTAATTTACAATGCTGTAGTTCATAACGTTCACTGAAAAAAGGGTTTGTTATTAACAACCAAACGTTTGGTTGGTATTTAAGCAACCAAAATTTTTTTGTTGAATCAACAAAATTTTAATTGTTTCAATTAAAATTTGTTTAACACAACCAAAATTAGAAAAAAAGGATTTTTGTTGTCCTAACTAAAGCTTGATTGGGACAACCAAAATTTTGTTGATACAACAACAAAATTTTGGTTGCTTAAATACCAACCAAACGTTTGGTTGTCAATACCAAACCCTTTTTTCAGTGTTTATGATCAACAATTTTGAAACAAATAATTTTGTGATTAAAAAAAATAATTTTTGAATAAGAAATTGTATGAATTTTTGTCTCATAGACATTTCTTGCAATTATTATTACATTAAAAAATATTGAATGTAATTTTTTTTTGTTTTTCATTGCTGTAATAATTTTTCAAAATTTTTTAGAGCAAAAAAAATTGTTTTCGTTCATTTGAACATTGAAAGTTTCAGGCAAATCACAATTTCGATTTAGTAGAATTAATAAATTCAAATTTAAAAAATTGAAGAGAATTATTATTTACCTAATTGAATTTTTTTAAATGAATTTTTTATTCCAATAAAAATTTCCTTTAATTCCATAATTTCGGTGTAAAGAAATTTTTCCATATGAATATTTGATTAATTTTAAATTTAGTTAAATATGAAAAATATTTAATAATAATAAAATTATTTTATTTATGTATAATGTGCTTGAATTTCTGAACGTTGAAATAAACGAAAAATTTATTTATTACTTCCAAAATAATAAAAATTACTTTCTGCATTCAAAAATAAATTAATAATTTATTAAATATTTAATGAACTTTTTTTATTTTTCATTCCATTTTTTCGAGAAAGATAATAAAACGTAAACTAATTTCAAAAATGAAATATAAAAATCATAATATGAATTAAAAAAAAAAAAAAATAAAAAAATTATAATATCAAAATAAAAGTGAATAATTTTTTTAAAATTATATTGGAATTAAAAAATTATTTGTCCTTTTAATATTCTTTTTGATGACAAAAATGTCTAGTTCTGTGTGGTTTTTTTGAATTGAACAAAAAGTGCATTACAGAAAAACGATCTTTGCGTAATACTTTCACAATTTCATAACAGAGTAGGTTCTTGTTTTCATGTTAAGATGAAGGTTCATATTCAAAATTTATATTCAAATAAAATTAATAACGAATATTTCTTCATAATCCGTATTTATTTCTATATATATATATATATTATAATTTACCTTTTACGATTATGAGAAAAAAGAAAGTTCTCTATTAAAAGTTATATATATATATATATATATCAAAAGAAAGAAATTAATTTATCACCCAAAAGAATTGATTTCGATATTAACATGAATTACATATATATATAGTATTACATATTCCTGAAATTATTATTCTAAAATACATTATAGTGATTTCTCGCCTTTTATAATATTATTACGTAAACTAAAACTAAAGTGTTGTTAATTCTAACCAGAAATTAATTATTCAATATATTGAACAATATTTTTGAAGAAATTTTGAATTTTTAAATAGGTTCAAATAAAAATATTTCCCATTAAATGATATAACAATATAAAGTTACATTAATAAACATAATTCTGTATTTATTTGTTATTTGCTAATAAAATTGATTAGAAAGTAAAGTTAATTTAATAATTATTTACAAAAAAGTTAATTTAATAATAAATCTGATTTTTGATAATTAGGCAAATAGTTAAAAATAGTTTTAAAAAAAAAATCTTTTCCCTAAAAATTATATTGATTGTAAATTGAAAATGTTTTAATAGGTATAATGTGGACAAATTCAAATATTGGCTAAATTAAGTAATAAATTTATTTATTATATAAAACTAATTAATAAACCAAAAAAATTTAATTAACAAATTCATAATAAATAAATTATTATGTGTTCAATCGTTGACTAAAAAACATTAACTCAAAAAATTTTTGAATTTCAATTTTTCTTAAAGAAAAGTTTTTCTATTAAATAATTAAATGTAATAAACTTTTGGATATTTTCTCAATATTAATAATAATTTATTTTACTAAATTATATAATATATAACGAAGCTGAAGTACGCAACGTTTATGATAAACGATTTTTAAAGAAGTAATTTTTTAAAATGAAAAATTCTATAATTTTTTGCCTAAAAAATATTTTTTTATAATTTGTTGATTAATGAAAAATACAAAAAATATTTTTTACGCAAAAAATTATAGAATTTTTTATTTTAAAAAATTATTTTTTTAAAAATCGTTTATTATAAACGTTGCGTACTTCAGCTTCATTAATATATAATAAATATTAAATTTTCTAAAATTACTAATTATTAAATAATTATTGTAATATTATACTTGTATTTCTAAAGAATTAAAAGAAAATTTAAAATAATAAAACAATAAAAAAAATTAAGATACATTTTTATAACTATAACAACTAATATGTCACACAATTTAATTTTTCAATTTAAAACACTTGATAAATAGTTATAATATTGTAATAGAAAATATGAATAATTATTCGCCAATATTCGTGACAATTAACGTTAAAAATATTGTATATATATATATATATATTGAAATGATAACATAAACAAAAATACGCACCAGACATATGGATTGTTTTCATTTGAATAAAAAAAAAAATAAGAAAATAAAACGTGTTTTTCAACAACGTGTATTTTTTTTGTATTTAAATGATAAAATTCGGCGGATAAATTTTTGTCAAATGACAAATTATCAATTGTCATCAATGATATAACATTTTTTTTTTTTGAACGAAAACAATAATGAAAAATAAAATTTTGAAATAAAATTAAATATGATTTATTTACTCACCACACATGTTTGCTGATGAAAATTCTTTCACTTCTTACTATATTTCGTCAGTAAATAAAACCATAAAAATTGACACGTATCACTTGTTCGTCGACTAGACGTCGTCTGAGCTAAAAGACAGTATTTACTTGGTTTTTATGAAACACCTACTCTTTTGAATGTATACGGAAAGGCGGAAAGCATTTTTCGAAAGTAAATCCATATTGACAGGTGAGCGGGCGTCGTCTGCTGGAAAACTAACCTCCAAATACTTGATAATATACAATTTCGTCTTCAATTTAAAAACACTATGATTATCATTTTCGTGAGAATAAATTGTATTATAACACACACCAAATGTTACATGTATTTGGAAATTTTAAATTAGATTAATTATTTTCGTGATTATTTTCCATTTAAAAACTTTTTTATATTTACGGTGTGTGCGAATGCATTTTCTTTCTATAGAATTGTTTTTTACAGTAGTCGAGTTTTAATAAAAACAATTGGTCAGTTCACTAAGAAAACATTATTGACATAAATTATCTGAATACTTTACGAAGTCAGATATATTGATATTGATTGAAATTTTAATTTATTTATTATGTATACGTATTAGCAGACCATTATTGTCAGACATTTTACTATCCAGGGCCGTAAATACTCGAACATATCCGAATGAAAAGGTGGGAAATTTGAAAATAATTAAAAATAAATGATTTACTAATTTCAAATAACGAAAGTTAACTTTATTCTTATATTGTAAGAAAGTATTTAATATTCCAATTATTTATATATTATGAATTGAAAAGTTTTTAATTTTTTTTTATTAATTATTATTAATCAAATAGTTAAAAGATATTTAATTTACATAATAGTAAAATTATTACCACTATTAAAATTTAAAATACAATTAGAAATTTATGTTTGTCAAAGAAAATAAATTAAAAAATAGAAATAATTATTTATTTCTTAAATTATTTTTATTTCATTTATATTAATAAAATTTTAATAATTCACATACCTACCTAATATTATTAATAATTAAATTCATTTATTATAAAAGAAATAAATATTTATTATGTTAATTAAAAATAATATATATATTAAAATTTTTCAAATGTATGGAACAGAAAAATTATGATTTGGTTTAATAAATAAAACACCAGAATTATATTATATAAAATTGTTTAATTTACGGAGAAAAAAAACTTATACGTTAGTAATACCAAAGAAACAGAATATTCTTATACAACATTTATAATATAAAGAGAACATTTTTTTTTTATAACATCTATTGTATTAGATAACAAATTATAAAAAATTCATAACTCTTAAAGTAAATATTATTACACTCTCTTGTTAAACGTGATCTTTAATTTGGAAATTGATTTTTAATTTCACAATATTATATGACGAAAAAATGCAAACGATCTAACAAGAAAGTGTGACAAAATTTACAATTATATTACAATTAAAAATAATAAATATATACAAGTAAAGTACTTATTATTTTTTTTTTTTAGGATAAAAGTCAGTACTGCCAAAAAAAGTTAGTGTGTGAATGTTTTGAACTCAACAAAAATATATTATCTATTTCTCTCTTCTATTGTATTTTTCCATAATTTCTACAAATTTAAAAAAAAATTGAAAATTCATATTGAGTAGAAAAACATATTAAAAAAAAATGTTTTATTTTAGTTAAAGAAAAAGAAAAAAAATTTATTACTTTCAGAAGTGAATTGCCCGTAAAAAAAGAGAGAAAAGATTTTTTTGTACAGTTACAAATCATACCAAAACTAACTTTTTATTAACAAGCTTCAAATAAATAAATATAAAGTTGAAGTATATCAGAATGAGAACAACGATACACGCCAAGCTAAATTCCTGTCTCAAATCATCAAAGATAAATAAAAGCCTTTTTTGTACAAAGCAATACTTAAAAATCATGTTATATTCAATAAAAATGCGAAATTTCATTATTTTTTTTTACCTCGTGAAAAATCAAATATTAATTGGACGCAGTGAACAAGAGACTACAATTCATACTATTTTCTACTACATAATTATATATGTAATATTATATACATATAATCTCTCTCTCTCAATTCAAATTAATTTTTCACATAAAGAAGTTCACGATGGTGCGAAATTAATATACTAAAATCATAAAATATAATTAAACTTTGTGCATGTAATTTACACTAAAAAACATTATCGCTATTATAATATATATATTTATTTTTCCTATATTTCTATTGTATTTAAATCTAATAATCTCGTAAAAGGTTATTTTGAAATTTCGAAAAAAGAACATTCTTTTTCATAATGTGATATTAGCGAATCATAATACATTATTATTGATAAGTTGATGTTTTCTTTTTCTTCAATTCATTTTTTTTGCACACAACCGATTTGTTTCTTATATAAATATTAAAATAATCTAGAGCAACAATTTGAATAAATAGACGAAAACAAGAAGAAAGTAATTTGGAAAAAATTAAAAATATAATTTTTAGAAATTATTAAAAAGTTTCAATTTTGAGAATTTTTTTTTTTTTAAAAGTAGTAAAAATTATAAATTTTGTTTTCAATTTTTCATAAGCGAACGAGACTTTTATTTACTTATTATCTATTATTAAGTAATAATTTCTTTCTTCTAATTTAGCGACAATTCACGCAAAATTGTTGCATTTTCTATATTATAGTTTATAATTGTTTTAAGTAGCTAACACTAAATTCCTTCCTTTTCCTTCGTATAAAAATAACGCGCAATGTGAAATAATTATTCTCGACATTGCTTTGTACATTCGCCCGTGCTCCAATGTAACAAAGTCGAACTTAATATGCACCTTAAAAAAAAAAAAAAAAAAAAACTCATTGCCAAAATTATTATACAACTAATATATATATATAATAATTATATGTTATCAGTATTTTAAAATGTTATTTCTAAAGAGTAACATCATTTACTCTGAAAGTTATCGTAAACTTTCATTTACTAAAAAATTATTACCTATATTGATTAAAATTGTCAAGACTACCAATTATTTATTATTCTGTTTCTCGAAATTCATTTAAAGTTCAACTGTAATTTAACAGATTTATTAAATTAATTAAATTAATATAATGTCGAATTTTTCATTTACAACCAAAAATAACAAAAAAAAAAAAAAAAATTACTTAAAGTAAGAATTTATTTAAAAATGTAGCATTTAATAATACTAATAATTTGAATTCAAACATTAAAAAAACAAATAAAATTCAAAACTGACATTAATTAAATCACAAAATCGAAATTATGTATACGAAAAAAACGCAATTTATTTAAAAATCTCGAGAATTTCAGAATTAATAAATTTTTCAAAATTAAAAAATGTATAAAAATTTTTTTTTCAATAAAAAAAAAGAAAATTTTCAATTATTAAAGATAAAAATAAAAAAAAGGTGTAAAAATATAATAAAATATTATTTTCACGAAAGTAAAAAACAGATAATTATTGTAAAAGAAAATTAAATTCTTTTACATTAAAATTTAAATTAAATTTTTTAATTTAAATTTTCGATAAAAAGAAAAAAAAAATGCCTCAATTATCTAAACAAAAAAAAAAAAAAAAAAAGACGGTAACGTGACAATTTTTCATCGTAACGTATTCCCTTAATGGAAACTAACTAATAACACGAAAAAAAAATTACTATTATTTCGCCAAAAAAAAAGCTCAGACTCCAATTTTCCAAAAAACAATGAGATCTCAATTGTATTACATTTACAGCCTAAATAATTTTTCACCTTTCACAATTTCATTTAGAATTTACAATAATAATTTATTGCTTTCTTGCAGAATAATTTCAATTTAAAGAAAAGCTAATTATTAAAAAGCTCAAAATGCTTGCAATATGCTTTTGATAATAAAATAAAGTAAGAAAAAAAAATTATCTCACACACATTTTTAATTCCTAACTAAGAAGTGCTCAATTTTCATTTTTTTTTTAAACACAATCGCGTCAAATTTAATAACGCGACAAATATTATGCTATCTACTAAATAGTGCACTAATATTGTTGTCAATTTCAGTTCTATTTTTAATAGTTATTAAAGACTAAATTCATTCATAATTTACTGCACTTTTCGCTCTATATTTACAAAGTTTCTTTATAGGAAACTGATAATTTCTTACATATAATATATATATATATATATATTTCTATTTCTTAGTCTCTTAAATTGTTAAATGAAATGATAGTTGTTAGCAAAAAGTCGTATTTACAAGTTTTCATACATAAATAACTTTCTATTAGTTTATAGAATGGAAGAGTGGAGATCTAATCGCAATTTTTCTTTTCACAGATTACGAATTCGAGAGAATTTAAATATAAACCTTATTTTATTAATTAAATATTTAATTAATAAAACAAATTACAATATTGAAAAAAAAAATTTTTTTCACTCATCAAAAGTGAAGGAAAATAATAATAATAATAATCGTAGTCTGTGTGATAATTGCTCGTCACTCGAAAATAAATTCATTTAAAGATTATTCTATTTTATTCACTACTAATAATTAATTATTATTATAATATTCAAATTATTTAATAATTAATTATTTAATAATAAATATAATTAATTTAAAGAAATTCTTTTAGAATAGCTTTGATTGATAGTGAAAAAAAATTTTTTCCACTTTTTCATGAAATATTTTTCAAACCTAAATTTCTCTTTTATATACTATTTATAGATTACTCTCTCTCTCTCTAATACCGTATCGTTAATTATAATGAGCGTGTTTTCAATAAAAGAAAAAAATATATAAATGAAATCAACGCATCATTTTTTTTTTGTTTTTTTTATATAGTGCGTTTAAAGAAACGCAGATATGTTTAATTTGAATCAAAATCGCGATTCGGTACCAGTTTTACACCTTCAAGAATGAATGAAAAAAAAGAAAGAAAAAAAGTCAATCTTTAGCCATCTCTGAGCTGAATTTGCCAGACTAGACTTGACTTGATTCTTGATTTTCTGCGTCGCCAGCTGCGCCGTCAGAGAGATTGTCGTCAATACCTGAGACAATCGATTTTTATTTTTTTTTTTTGAAGAACTTATGTTTTTCTTACTTTGTTGTTTTTTTGAAAAATTGATCTTCAAAACAGGAATCGATTGGATTTACTCACAAGTCATTTCTTCCTCTTCCGATGATGAATCAGTGTCGCTATCTGAACTCTCCGAATTGGCCGATATCGAACAACGATCGTAATCTTCAAAATTTGCATAGACTTCAGCCCCTTGGAAAATGTATCTTCCTGGTGCCAATTGAAAGTAGGAATTTTCTGCAAAAAAAAAAGAAGGAAATTTTCAATATATGTAAATGTTTTTGTTTTTCAAAAGTAAAAATGTCCTTTTTTTCCCTGATTTTTCTAAAAAAAAAAGAGGGGAAATAAAACATGAAAAATAGCAAAATACACATTAATTAATTAAAAAATGATAAAAAGAATATTTTTTTGAAACATACCTGGCAATCGTGTCGCGAGACTTTCCCTCGTCTTTGGCTGCCAACAATGTCTATCAATTTCATGAACTTTCGATTCATCTTGATTTCTATCCTCGGTTTCAATTCTATCCGTACAATCATTACTATTACAACTATCGCCCAAACCAGAATCCATAGCAGAATCAATAGATGCATGTCTTGGTTTTAGACCCATAATATCGCTATTATTATCACATTCGTTAAAATCATTTTTATGACTCTCCGTTGAAGACTCCTCTTTTCCTGAGTCTATTGAATTTTCTTTTTCCGATAAATCACCGCTTGGAACAACATGACATTCTTCAATTGGCAAATAATTTTCTTCAGTCTCTTCTTCCTCTTCTTTTATCGTCGATTCAACGGCTACAATACGTGTTGGCAATTTTTTATCAACAGAACATGGTGAAATAAATTCCGTTGATTCATTATCGTAACGTATTCGTTTTGGACTACTTTCAACACTTGAATTATCAATACGTCTCTTTGGACTCTCGCCTAATAATTGAAAACTACCATCTTCATTATTCTCCATATGACCAGCGTGAAATGGCGAAATACAAATATCAGTATTTGCAATTATTCTTTTTGACGTTGTATTCATAATAAAACTATCCTGACTCTCTGAAGAGATATTTTGTGTTTTCATTTCTGTTTTACTAATATCTTGAGAAAATTCAGGATTTGTTATTGTATCCTGACTTTGTTCCCATGAATCGTATGAATTTAATTGAGCCGGTAACAATTGTGTGACTTCTTGGGGGATTTTTTCTTGACAACATACATCTTTGAAAGAACCATCCAATCTGTATTTCAAAAAAAAAAAAAAAAGAAAGAAAGAAAAGCAAAACAATTAATGTAAAAGAAAAATGAAGATTTTTTATTATTACAGGGTGACCACCTATATTTGCCAACAAAATTCAAGGCTTTTTCTCGGTTTTAAAAAAAATTTCAAGGTTTTTTAAATTGATATTTTGACATAATTTAAAATTAATATTAAAAAGTGGCTTATTTTAAGTGTAAAACAAGAATGTAGCACTAAGGAAAAAATATATTCTTTAATTTCAAAGTTATAAATTCTCAAGGTTCATCAAGATCCAAAATAATTTTTTTTTAAGATCCACTTTCGGCGTAGAAATTATGAAAATATTTTTCATTTATAATAAAGTAAACTTTGTTTGTTAAATTTAATAATCGGATTGTTTATATAGAACTAACAAATTTTTCATTATTATTAAATTTGCTTAAAAAAATTAGTTTGTATTTAACAGTTTAAGAATTGAAAAATTAAATGATAAATAAATTTCTAAAATACCTCAAATAAAAGAAGAATTTGAAGGAAGAATTTTAAACACGAACAGTTTAAAGAAAACATTGAAAAAGAAAAAAAAACACAATTTTAAAAAGAAAAATAGAAAATTTAAGAAAAATACAATGTTAAAGAGAAACTTTGAAATAAAAATTGAGAATTTGAGAAATTCACAAAATGAAAGGATTATTTCTCAGGTAAATTAAGAATTTTTGGATAGTTTATAATTTTAGAAAAATGAAATAAAATTAAAAATTCGAGAAAATAAAAAGTCAAAGAAAAAAAAAATTGATAATTTTAGAAATTCAAATTAGGAGAATTTAAAGAATAATTTAAAAAAGAATAAAAAAACAAGAATTTTATAAAAAAAAAAATAAAAAGAAATTAAATTTAAGAAAGTATGTAGAATGTGGGAAAAGGAAAAATTTAAACAAATTTTCAGAATAAAATAAGAAATTGCGGGAAAATTGAGAATTCCTGACTAGTTTGTAAAAGTAAATTAATATATATATATATTTTATGAATTGGAAAATAAATCTGAAAATTTAAGGGAAAAATTGCTTTAAAAACGAAAATTTTTAATAATAAAAAGATTTAAGAAGATAAAAAGTATTAGAAAAAAAGAAATTGAAAAAAATAAAAAAATTCTGAAAAAATTAAAATTTATAGTCAAAAATCGAGATCCTTGTTCCGTTTGTAAAAATAAATAAAAGTTAGGAATTTCAATGGTTTTTAAGGTTTGAAAAAAATTCAAGGACTTTTCAAAGATTTCAAGATTAGCTGGACACCCTGGAATTATCAAAAAATGTTAGAATAAATTTTTGGGAAAATATTATTCAACAAAATTATCAAACAAAATTTTTACGTTATCAAAATTATAATTTGAAAATTTTGAAGGTTAAAAATTTTTTCTACCTGCTTTCAGATAAAAAATTATTAATTTATTTTTTTAAATTCTTAGTTTTTAATTTTTTTAAGAAACGTTTTACTTCGTGGTAGATCAAAAATTTATGACAATTCATCACAAGTTTCAATTTAAAATAAAATCAAAATACGAATTTTTAAATAAAATTTCAAGGGTAATTTAAAAATTTAAGGCGAATTTATTGTTTTTTCAAAGCGTAACTAAATTCACGTTGTTTTTACAGTTTTCAAGGTTTCAAGGTTCGATGGCCACTCTGAATTAATTTTTAATTAAATTCGAAAAAAAATTATTTTTTATATTAATAAAATAATACTCACAAATGACACAGGAGATTGATAATAACATCGCCATCTCCAAGTAGTTCAATATCAAACTTCAAATGCGGTAGGGATTCTCTATTGATGAGAATTTGAGGAACGTGCGATGAAATCGAAGAGGGAATCAAAGCAACAGGTCGAACTTTGAGCGACGAGCCAATAACAATTAAGAGATCACATTCGTCCTTATCTTTAGACATAGCATCATGAAAAGCGTCCGGAAGACCTTCTCCAAAAAACACAATATCCGGTTTCATTATTCCTTGTGAGACCAAATCTAAAAACACAGTAAAATATATTATTTTCTATAAATTCGAATATTTTTTTTTTCTAAATTTACTATTTTCAAATTTCAGGGTTGCCACGCTTTTGCTACACTAAAATTCCCTTTTTTAGATTGTTCAGAACAAAAAACGGTGTTATCCAAGTTATTTATAAAAACTTTTTCTTAGAATATATTTGAGGGGCAATTTTTTGAAAACCTGATAAATACATTTTTGAAAATATGTTTAAACATTGTTTTAATCATTATGAACTTAATTATTTATAATTTTTCTTTAATTGCTTTTTTTTACATTGAAAATTTTAGTTTATTTTACTTTGTTATTTTCTACAGAAAAAGAAGGGGTTAAAAATGGGTTTTTATGTTATTGAAAAGTACATGAAAATTCCTTCAAAAACTTGTTTGAAAATTAAAATTTACTAATTTGTGTTAAAAATAGTTTATAAATTTTTTTTTTGAATTAATTAATATTTTAGAAATTTGTTGCTATCAAATAGGACAACAATTTAGCAAAATAACAAGTCAATCACAAAATTTTTAACTGCGTCAATATTTTCAAAATTATCAAGAAATGAATTTATCCCTTGGTAGAAGTATTATAATATTAAAAATTGAATTTTCCAGGATTTGAAGGAAAATTCCACGACTTTTCCAAAAAAAAATTCCAGGTTTCCATGTAGCGTGACAATCCTGTATCAAAGGACATTATCCCTTGATATCATTTTTTCGAGTAAAAAAAAATGCTAACTAAAGAAAACAATGTTAATTTAAACAAAACGTTTTAGAAATTAATTCTTTTTTTTAAAGGAGGTATATATGATAAAATATAAAAACCGATGGACTGTAAACACTGAGAAAAAAAAACTGGATACTCTGTAAGTTTACCTGTTTCATTATTTTTTTCTACTAATGGAGTTTAAAGAGCTGTACTTTTTTTTCAATTTAGTTGCCAAGTTCTATTCCAATATAGGTGATAATAATTCTCTCAATTGCCATTGAATATTTACTATACTCGAAGGAGAATAATAGTAGAATCTATCAAAGTCCATCTTAATGAATGTGTATTAACAAAAAAAACCAAAAGAGAAGGAAAAAAAAGAGATTGTAATTTTTTTCAATCACCTCTATAGGATTCATTTGGATTAACTTCATTAATCGATGGCAGAGCTTTTGCCCTACATTTTGGACATATTGGTATCTTCTGCGCGAAAATATCATCCCTGATGTCATCAGCTTTCACTTGATATTTACAACGAGTGCACGACGCTGTTGCAAAAGAGCCTGAAAAAGAAATTTGCAAAATAATTAATAATTTGCATTATTGAAGATGTGAATTCTTTTTTTTTTAGATTTAAATTATATTTCTCACCGTGACACTCAATCACATTTTCAATCCCAGCTACTTGCTCTAAAGTATCAATATTTTGTGAATAGTTTCTTAATAATTTTTTCTGCTTTTCCAGCATTTTAATAAATCTATGACACGGACTTGGTTTAAATTGACCGGGATAAATTTCACGTGCAAATTTAAAAAATGGCCTTGGATCTTGTGCAAAATAATTTATGTCGAACATAGCCTGAAAGAAATTGGAATTTTTTTTTTTATAAATCATGATAAAGAGAAAATTGAATAAATTAATTAGTAAAGTAAAATTTTTATTTACTTACTTGAGGATCGGGTAAATCGGGAAAATCCTGCGCTAGTCGAGAATAAATGCCGTCCTTACTTCTAAAATCGGGGATTCCACAGCTAACACTGACGCCAGCTCCGGTTAATACTACAATTTTTTTACTGGTACTTATCAATCTAACCACATCCGATACAGTGTTAATGTGTCGTAGCTTTTGCCTTCTTGGCGGTTCCGACATCATGTTTACAATTATCTATAATTAACAAATGAAAATAAAAATTATTTACTTTTACCACCAAAAAAAAAAAGACTTTTCTGAGAAAATTATTTTACAGGACGCAGAATTTCATTTTCAAAATCCTCTAACCCCCGAGTAACAAAATTCAGGCAAATCCAGTTACATTTTGTCAATTTGACCAATATTGCACAAAATTTTCACATTTTACAATGAATTTGACGCCATATTTGGTCCGCCATCTTGAAATTTTTTATTCTACATTACGTTTCTCGAAAGTACACAACTTTTATGCACCTATGGTTGGCAATTTAATTTTATTCTTACATTTTTTCCGATTGAAAAAAAATGTCAAACTGAAAAAAATGAAACTTTTTTTGTGTTTTTTGACATTTAAACCGCCCTATTTAATTTCGGCTTAGACGAAATTAATTTTTGATACCGGAATCGGACAGAGCACACTCAAGACCTATAAGAAATGTACCTCTCGTAGAAAATGTTTACCGATTTATTTAAAATAACGTAGCCTGAATGTGTACAAAGAATTTTCAGTTTTTGGGCGTTAATGGGTTAAATTAGAATTATACTAAGTAAAAAGTTTGATAAAAATAAATTCCGTGAAATTAAAAATTCGTTTAAAAAGAAATTCTGTTAAACTATAAGTTTGAAAAATAAAAATTCCTTTAAAAAATAATTGTATTTAATAAAATTGTTGAAAATTATAATTCTAACTAATTATTTTTATGGGATAATCATGCGTTCCAAAATTTTTAGTTTCCTGCCTTTATTTAAAGAAAAATTTGATATATAATTTATTTCTTTTTAATAAAAATTTCCTATAATTTTGAAGCCTTTTTTTTACAAAATTCCCTAATTTCTAGTTCTTCTCTGCCTTTTTCATAAGATTAATAAGTTGTAAAATTATTTTGTTAGAATTTTCGCTTGACAGAATTTCATTACCTATAATTTATTTTTAGCCGAACTTTTATTTCTTCGAATTATTATGTTGCAGAAATTCCATTTAACTGAATTTCTATATCAAAGAATTGTAACGTAAAAAAAATTTTTATTTTACAGACTTTCTATTTCATCGAATTTTAATTCTAGAAAAAAAATTTTCTAGCCGAATTTCCATTTGTCCAAAACTGCAAATGATCGACAAAAATATTTCGCAGCCAATTTTTCTGCCAGATATATATATATATATTTTGAAATTTAGTTACCTAAATAGATTTTCTGTAACAATAATTTGAAGTAATACAAATTAAACTAAAAATAAATCCTAGGTAATGAAATTCTGACAAAATTCTAAATTATTTGTTTTTTTTTTTTAAATAAATATTTAGATGATAAATTTAATAATAAAATCATCAAAGAAATATTTATATTTATAATTTAATTTTTGAATTATTTTATTACAATCATTGAAAATAATTAATTTAGCAAAGAATTTTAGTTAAAAAAATTAAATTAATTTTGGAATAATTGCATTGCAAGTCAAAAGAAAGTCATTTTATTTAAAAAATTTTGTAAAAAAGTAAAAAGAAAATCGTACAATCCGACGTTTGTTTTTTCAGTGTTAGAAAATATTTAAAAGAAAAAGTTCAAACTTCAAGAATTGAAATAGATTAAAGTAATTTCACGAAATAGAGAAAAAAAAGAACAAATTCAACTATATCTAAACAATTGAGATTTTAAATTTGATTTAAGTGATAAAAATCATCTAAACAGAGAAAAACAACGCACCTTCCATAAGGTGAGATCATCAACCTGATCTGGAATAGGAGTTGACTCCATGAAGACATGCTGAATAAGTTCTCTTGGATCTGTTCCCATTAGTATTTGTTTTTGTACCCAAGTAGAAGCACTTCCACTAACTTCTAATAGCCAATGATGATTATTTTCACCCTCGCCAGACAGATCAGAAAGTCCCGAAAGATCCGAAAGATAAGACACTGTAGATGATACTTCGTCTTTTTCATCCGTATCAAGTCTAAAAGAGAAAAAAAAAATTTATTAATTATACTTATTTCGTCAATTTTTTTCAATTAAAAAGAAATTTTTTTTTAAACTTACGTGCAGCCGTTATCGTCGCTTGTGGAATCAGCGCGATTCGGAGTTATCGAAAGATTTGTTGTTTCAGAGGTACCGGAAGCTGATTTTATTCCATCACTCATCTCATTGAATCCACTATCACAGCCTAGAGCTTCTGTTGAAAAAATTGTAAGTTTTAAATTGGTTTTTTTTTACAACAAGCAGAAATCGAGACTAAAATTATTTTACAATGTAATAATCGAAATAAATAAATTTTTAAAGGCACAAAATTAAATTAAATTTTTTTGTGTCAGTAGAAACGATTTGTGTAATATAACCTAAAATTTAACAATCGTCAGTTTCGGTGAAAAAATTTTAATCAAATACAACTTTGAATAATTCAAAATTTTACCTTCTTAATTACATTTTTAATTAAAATTGTAAATTTATGATAACATTAAATAAAGTAAAAAAAAAATTTCGAAAAAAAAATCCAGTTCAACATAACCGTACTCGATACAAATGTTAAAAAAAAAACCATAACCAATTAAAACTACTTTGAACGAGAAATTAATTAAAAAGAAAAGTTTATTTTCCAAAGCAAAAAAAAAACATAACCTACGCAATGTTTTGACGTATTTAAATATCATCATTTGAGTTTGACAGCTCTAAACACGCGGTACAAGAAACGTCAAAATCATATTTCCATATTTGTTTGTGTGAAACTTGTGCCATCTGTGAACACAACTGAATTGTACGAACAACTATCCAACCCTCCTTCCCGCGCGTGAAAACAAATTAAAACACAAAAATATCACTTAACATTGTATTATTCAACAAATTAATAAAATAAAAAGAAAACCCATGAAAATATAAAAGAATCTACAAATAGTATATGAGAATAATACAACTTAAAAATGACATTTAATTTCGAATAAAGCGAAAAAAAAAATAAAGACGCATTACAAGAAACTGTCATGGCGGCTTAACAATACTTCTAGAACAAAATGCCAACGCGATATCATGCATACGCCCTTTTACGACGCCATATTGAATTCATGAGAATTTAATTAAATAATTGTCCATATTTTAGATGAAATACCTTCTAAATCCTCGTTTTGATGATCATCAAGTTGTTTGCCGTTTCGAAAATCGAGTTCTAAGCCTGGAGATACTTTATAATCGTTGTCGTCCAACTTTCGTCGTTTTGTTGTTGTAGACGTATATTCTGGCAGCTCCGAACTCGTCGCCATTTTCCACAGCAGTGCAATAAGTGAACATGTGTGTAGTTCACAACACGACCACTAAAGCAAGAGAGGTCGTTGCCTATTTTACTTCCCCCTTTTTCCCCTCTAAAAACGTCACACCGTTCATGGAATGATGCACTTGTGAGATGCACATACACTAATAAAAAAATATATATATATATATATATCTTTTCGTTTTAAAACGCCCACACAAACACATATACAATCACTCTTTTTTGCTTCCGCTTCTATACCATCGTCTCTTATGGCATTATCGATCAGGGGAAACATTGCAAAAATTTCATTTATTAAACATAGTGAGAATTTTCAATTTTTATATAATTTTCCATAATAAAAAGAAAGATGAAAATTTTACTTATTGTTTGAAGGTAATATAATTCTCAGGTGGATGTTCAAATATGAAAATAGAGAAAATTTCTCTGCATTTACAGAGTATGAAAAAAGCTATATTTTTTCAAAAAAAATATAATAGTAAGTAGAAAATTTATTTATTTAGAATTTTTAATGATTTAGAAGTAGATTTTTTTCGATATTTATAAAATTAAAATGCTGCGGGAAAATCTGAATGACCTTGAATAGACGGCCATTTTAAAAGTTGATTTCAATGGCGCTAAATTTAAATTTAATTGGGGAATTTTTCTTTTTAATTGTTCCCTCTGTTATTTAATTTGTAATCAAATTTTAGTTTAAAAAGAAAATTATATAAGAAATATATTGAATATTAATTGACAAAAATAGTAATTAACAATTATTATTATATTAGAATATTATAAATATTTTACTATAAAATCTTGGCAATGGCTAAGAATGCCAACCTAAGATAATGAAATTAATTTTGTTTAAAAAAAAAATAAAATTATTAATATATTTATATACAAGTATCGTTTTTCTATGGTGGAAAATAATTATATTCAAAGAAATGTTAATTAATTATTATATGCATAGATTTTTTATATTGAAAGAAATTTTTAATTTTAGAGAATTCTGCCTTATCAACCGCAAAGGTATACCTTTTCTGTCTCTTAAGTCGGTAAAGTATTATTACTTCTTAGTGCAGTAATCTTTTTTATCAATTGTTACGGAGCTGTACCAGTTTTCCCATAGGTGGCTACAGACTCAATTTGCAATATTTTGAATTTTATAAACTATGTATGTCAATTCTCAAAAAGTTAAAAATTAGTGAATGTTTGTTCTTTATTGGAATTAAAAAATGTGAAAGTATTTAGGTTTAATCCGTGTTATTTGTGTCAAATATTGTTGTTATAAAAAATTTTACGGTAACATTTTTGAAAATATAGTAAAATAGTATGAAAATGTAGTCACAAAAGAATAGTGCATAAAGTTGATATGGAGCCGATGCAAATTGGTAAACATAACCTATTAAACAAATTGTTTCATTTTCTGTTTAAATATGTTGAATATTTTTATATCATAAGATTGTTGAATGTTTAGAACAACATTTTTTTAATTTTTCGTAAGTATTTTGTTAATATTAGTGTAATGTGAAAAAAATGTATATGCGCCATCACGCAAAGGGGAAATGTGAAACCACAAGGGCCACAAAGCATTTAAAATCAAAGTAGCCGCAAGTCAGGGGAAATATTTTTGTCAGGGAAATTTGGGAAATTGAATTTTACAGAAAAAGTCAATTATATATACGCGTAAAAAATTTAAAAAAATTATCATTCCAAAAATGTTATTAATTTCTGCGTGAAAAATATTTTTTTTTGCTTGAATTTATCAAAATTTTTCATTGATTTAAAAATTACTAGAAAACAATTTTCAAAACATCTAAATTTTAATTATAGTTAAAGTATTTATTGATTAAAATAGATTGTAATCAATCTAAATTTGAATTCATTTAAAATCTTAATTCGATTAATGTAAAATTCAATTTATTCAAATTTCAATCTGTTCAAAGTTCAATTTAATTAGGTAAATTTTATTCGATACAAATTTTAATCGATGCAAAATTCAATTTAATATAAAGTTTTATTTAATTTTTAAGTTAGCTAATTCTCAATTCTAATTTTTTTTTGCTCAATACAAAATTTATTAATTGATTTTTAATTAAATGCAAATTTAATCAATTCAAATTTATAATTAACAAAATTTAAATCTAGCTAAAAAATAATTGATTTAAGTTTTAAATTATTAGAATTTTAATTTATCCAAATTTTAATTAATTTAAATTTCAAATTATCCGAAATTGAATTTATCCAAATTTTGATTCATTTAAATTTAAATTTATTAAAAATTCAATTTATCAAAATTTTAAACTAATTCAATTTAACTATATTCATATCACTGATGAAAAATTGTTTTTTATTTATAATGAAATTTATTAAATATATTTATTTATTATTAAATTTATTTATATATCTTTATTTATATATTGCAAAAAAATGTAATTCGTTCTTTTTTTCTTTTGGGGATAATAATTTCTAATTCTAAAAAAAATTATGGAAATATAAAGAAGTGAAAATTTTTAAATTGATGGAAATTTTGCTAATAAAAAATTCAATGGGCGAGGAAAATTGATTAAATTTAAAGACTAGAATATTATAGCTGAAAAATCTTCTTAAAAAAATTTAGCAAATTTAATAATATTTAGATATAACAAGAGTAAATTTATTTCAATTTTATTTAACTTTTTTATTATTATTGATATTTTTTTAATAAGATAAGACAAAAAAAAAGGTATTTCGTTGATTATTTTCAGATTTTATTTAATATTTACTTAAAGTGACGCGTTTCTCTTTATAGTATTCAGCCCCTCGATTACATTATATATTTTCTTATTAATTATATTTATTATTATTTATTAAAATGATTATTATTTATCATAGAATTGCCTTTGGCGAAAATAAGAATATTTAAATATTAATTTTCCTTAAGAATGTACTTATTTGACTATATTGTATATTTATATATGTATTTATTAATTTTACAAATTATATAAAATTAAAGTTCATTGTTATTTACATTAATAATGATTTAAATATTCCAAATTTATTATTATTTTTAAATTCATTTACTTTATTATCGATAATATAAGAAATATCTTTTGTCGGTAATATTTTATTCAGCTTGATAATTTAGTAAACTTCCTTATCATTGAGTAGGAGCTTCATGATTTTCCCGCTAGGCAGCTACTGTAATTGCAAAATTTTTGTCATTTTTGTTCTTTATTCTTTAACGAATTTTTGTTCCACAATAAAAAGTAAATTTTCGTCTCATTTAATAATGTATGGGTATAATAAATTACAATCTAGTTTTTAGTTTAGTTCGTGTCATGTTCAAGAAATATTAAAGTTACAAAATTGTCATAAGTTTATAAGTGCCATGAAATCTATAAAATTAATTATTAATAAAATAATTAAAAATTCCTGTTTAACATAACCTATGGTATTATGTAAAATATAATTTATGTTATTTATCAATCGCAGAAATTTATTTGAAATTATAATCAAGTACCGATTGTAGATGAAAGTTGTATACAAATTCTTAGAATTCTTTCTTATCAGCAAACTTTATTTTAGTTCTGTATTTTCCTTGCAGATTGACACAAAATTGTTGATTGTTTTTGTGGTGAGTGTTTTGAATTTGTCGGAATTATCAATTTTTAATCAAATAACAATGGAAAGTGAACAAATCAATTTTTATAGATAGAAGCAAATATATTAATTTTAATGTGAGGTAAGCAAAAATCAATTAATTACAATTACAATTATTGTGCCATTGATTTATAGAAGAAAAAACATTATAGGGTAAGTGTACCAATTACGGCGCGTTCATAAAAAATAACTATTATTACTATTATATTTAATTATTATTACTATTTATATTTAATCTTTTTTTAATACAATTACTTATAAAGATGCACATTTAAACAATTATTAATTTAATTATTTGAGATGAAATTTTTTTCCGCGCCGCAATTGAAACATTTTTAAGATTTTCATTGGCTCCAATTTCGGCGGGCAAAGTATCTTCAAAATACACGTAATTTTGGTCACCAAAATTGATACACCGAAACTGATTCAAAAGCGCCGCAATAGAAAATTACGGTATTAGTTTTAATTTCTCATATTTCTTTAAATAATCAATTTTTATAGAGTTAAACGCATTTTTTTTAACATCTAAATAAGATAATCTTTTAGTTTAATAAGTCTTAAATTGACTTTATACAAAAGAAATGTCGAATTTTCTATTTCAAATATGTTTTGACTCGAATCGCGCCGCAATTAGTGCATTTACCCTATTTTTCTTTGGTTTTTGTTTAATATTTCTGTTTTAAATACGAATAATTTTATATTGATTTATGTTAAAAATTTATCTTATCTAGTAAAATGCAAAAAAAGCACATACCATCAATAGGTATTTTAAAATCTTTAACTTTTTATACATTTTTTTATACTTTTTTTTTTATATAAATTTATGCATATTTTGATTGATTAGGAAAATAATTGTGAAAACCATGAAAAATCCATAAAATAATAATTCTTTTTTTTTGAGTCATTTAACACAGAAAATATTAAAAAATTTCAAAAAATATTTTTAACAAAAATTTTAGATTTTACTATAACATAAATTTTATGTTGCATATGTTTTTTAAAATAAAAAAGTGGCTAAAATTTAAGAAAAATATGCAAAAATCATTTGGAAATGATTAATACCAACATTTTTCTTAAAAATTATTTGCTTTTTTTTTGAAAAATGTGCCAAATCTAAAAAATTTCTATATTTTATTCATGATTTTTATGTTTTTTTACAGCTTTATTAAAATTTAACAGCTTTTTCAGAAAAAGATATTCATTATAAAATAGTAATTAAAATTCTTTATCAGGGTGTCTAACGGTCAGGGAAAGTTAGGGAAAAGTCAGGGAATTTCAAAAAATTTCATTCAAAGTCAGGGAAATTTCTGTAAACTACAAAAATTAAAATTTTTTCATTTAAAAAAACTTGAATGGTTTTTATTACCATTTGTTACTACCATTAGTAAAATCAGGGAAAAGTCAGGGAATTTTGATTAAAAGAAACCACAAATTAAAATAATTTGATACATAAATGTCAATTCATTTTTTTTTTATTTAGACCTTTTTGTAATATAGCTCATTATAATGGTGCTGTCAGATTTTTCATTTTTCAAAGTATTTACTTTTTTTATAATAAAAGTTTTAAATATAATAAAATTTTGTTATTAAACAATTTTTAATTACACAGGCACACAAAAAATAAAAAGTTGTTTGGCCGAGACACTACACTAGTCTATTTTCATGTATTTTTTCACGCTGAATCCGAATCCGAAGTCAGAATTATCAGATTGGCTCTTATTTTTGAGATAAACTCAAAAAACTGCTCAGAAAGAAAAATATAATCAAAAAGTTAAAAAATTTTTGAATGTCACTGCGATAGTGTAATTCCATGTATTTTTTGTCGCTGAATCCGAATCCAAAGTCAGAATTGTTAGATTCGCTCAAATTTTTGAGATAATTGCAAAAAAACACAAATAACAAAAAACTCAAAATACTCAAAATCAGTTTTTTGGAATTATCTTCAAAATTTGAGCCAATCTGTCAATTCTGACTTCGAATTCGGATTCAGCGTGAAAAAATACATGAAAATGCACTATCGTAATGTTTCGGCAAAAAAAAAATTTCTTTGAGCTAAAATCGCCAAAAATCGGATAAAAATTCTGAATTAGGGGCACAGATAATTTTTTTGCCGAAACACTACGATAGTGCATTTTCATGTATTTTTTCACGCTGAATCCGAATTCGAAGTCAGAATTGACAGATTGGCTTAAAATTTGAAGATAATTCCAAAAAACTGATTTTGAGTATTTTTAGTTTTTTGTTACTTGCGTTTTTTTGCAATTATCTCAAAAATTTGAGCGAATCTAAAAATTCTGACTTTGGATTTGGATTCAGCGACAAAAAATACATGGAATTACACTATCGCAGTGACATTCAAAAATTTTTTAACTTTTTGATTATATTTTTCTTTCTGAGCAGTTTTTTGATTTTATCTCAAAAATAAGAGCCAATCTGATAATTCTGACTTTGGATTCGGATTCAGCGTGAAAAAATACATGAAAATAGACTAGTGTAGTGTCTCGGTCAAAAAACTTTTTATTTTTTGTGTGCCAGTGTTATCTTATCTTTTCCTTTATGAATAAAATTGTTACTTAAAAAGCATTATATTCAAAAGTTTTTTAGTCAGGGAAAATAAAAAATTAGTCAGGGAAAAGTCAGAAAATTTTGAAAATAAAATTTTGCGGCCACCCTTTTTATGTTCTAATTATTTATAAATAATCAATTTTGGTTTAATGGTAGCAATTCCCTCATCATAATTTATTTCATCTTGAAAAGTAATATTACAATATGATATTAATTGTAATATTTCATTATAAAATATTTATTCTATACTAAAATCATATCAGTAAATTTCACAACGTTTATGCTCAACAATTGAAAAAAAGACTTATTTTTCATTTAGAAAATAATTCATTTTTTGCCTACAAATTTTTTTTCAAAATATTGATCCAGAAACATTGCAAACATTTTTTTTTTATATAAAAAAGTATAATATATACATATAAATAAATAAACAAATAATAATTTACACAGAAAGGTTTTTTTCAAAATCGTTCCTCATAAACGTTGTGAATTACACTAAAGTCTAAAATCTACAATTTTTGTTGAAAATATTTTTTGAATTTTTCAATTTTCGATAAATGAACAAAACTATTATTTTTATGTATTTTTCATGATTTTTCTCATCAAAATAAAATTTACTCTTTTTGAAACATTATTCAAATAGAAATTTGAACTTTTTTAAAATTACCAGAAATTTAAACTACCGTCGACAGGGGTAATTATGGAACATTTTTTTTTAATTCTTTTTTATGTAAAATTTTTATATTAAATTATTTTAAATTCGTTCTTGTTTTAAATAATAGTTTACTATTTTGTCTGTAAAATAACTCAAATGTTATTATATTTATTGTCACTGGCAACGAGAGAAAAAAATGATCAAACTTCAGAAAAAAGAGACACAGTTTTTATTTTAACAAATTTATTGTTATTCAACTTTTTATTTTAAAGAATTATAATTTAAACCAATTTTGATTTTTCAAAATTCATATTCAACAGAATTTTAGTGATTCGAATTGATTTGGCATCGAATTGGTTTAATATCAGAATTTTTAATTTAACGAATCTTCATGTGTCCAAATTTTTATTTATACTAATTGTTATTAGATAGAATTTCTAAAACAGTAAATTTTCATTTGACAGAAATTACAAATGACTGAACAAATAAAAGTCAGAAAGATTTTGGAGCTAATTTGAAAATAGACCAATCACAATTTTCTTAATAATTTCTGATTGGTCTATTTTAAAAACTGCGTCTAAATCTTTCTATCATTTGTTTGTTCAGCCATTTGTAATTTCTGTCAAATGAAAATTCGCTTTTTTCAGTATTCTATCTAATAACAATTCTTGTAAATAAAAATTTGAACACATAAAGATTCGATAAATTAAAAATTTGGACATTAAACAAATTTGAAGCACTAAAATTCTGTTGAATATGAATTTTGAAAAATTAAAATTGGTTTAAATTATAATTCTTTAAAATAAAAAGTTGAATAACAAAAAATTTGTTAAAATAAAAATTATGTTAAATAAAATTTCGTTTACAAAGAAAGTAACTTAAATACTAATTTGAAAAATGAAAATTCGTCTAGAAAAAAAATTCGGTCAAATGAAATTCATACAAATGAAAATTCTAGCTAATGATTTTTATGGGATATTCATGCGCTCCGGATCTTCACAATATATTTAAACAGTTAAAAAAAATTTTAACAATTTAGATTTTTGGTGAAGAAAAAAATGAAAAAATCGCATTTTTTGTACGATGCTGAAGTTCACAACGTTTATGATCAACAATTTTTTAAGAAATATTTTTTTGAATGAAAAATTCTATTAATTTTCGTCTCAAAAATATTTCTTGCATTGTTTATTAATCAAAAATTTATGAAAATCATATTTTTAGTATCGTTTTTTTTTTGTTGTATAATTTACCCCGTTGACGGTAAGGAAAAAATTTTAATTTTATTTCTTGCAGCTCCCTTTAAAAATTTAAAATTCACGTTTTGATTAAATAAAAAGAATTAAGATCCATTTATATGTTGCGCCAAAAACAAAAAAATATATATCTCCGTTTATAGTCGAAACTTGTTAGAAAATATAATATGTTGGAACAATGTGTCCATGTCAGATATAATAATATGTATATAAAGTTGGATGATTTATTGAATTTTACTCAGCGAGATATCATTCAAAATCAATTTTCTAAAGTTACAAGAAACTAAGACGCGTAAAGGATATACGTTACTGCCGCGTGGGAGGGAGGTTAGTAGATGGAACAAATAGGCGAAGTGTCGAGGTTGGGATCACATAAGATCCATTGGAGCTCGCCCCCGAAGGCATGGGGCTCTCTCTTATAAGACACATATTGCTCGATTCCATCTTACAGATGTAATCCCGATATAGGGTTTCAAAAGTTTCCAAGATAGGAAATTCGATGCTAAAAGAGAACCCTCTCTTTTTCTTTGTGTCGAATGAAAACCTATCGTGATAGAGAAACGTATCCATCAATATTATATATTCTTTCACGCGTTTCGGATAAGCTTC